AGACACCACCTCACACCCATTCACACGACTGTTACCAAAAAACCAACCAGTGATGCTGGTGAGGACGCGGCGGAACCAGAACGCTCGCGCACTGTTGGTGGGAAAGTAAAATGGTGCAGCCACTGTGGAAAACAGTGTGGGGTTCCTCAAAAACTACAAAGAGAATTCCCACATAATCCAGTAATTCTGCTTCTGCTGTATGCCCAGGAGAACCGAGTGGAGGGTCTTGAAGAGATATGTGTATACACGTGTCCATGTTAGCATTATTCACCACATCTGGAATGTGGAAGCCACCGAAGCCCATCAACCGCTGGCTGGACACGCAAAACGCGGGATACGCGGGATATCCATTCTTCAGCCGTGAGAAGGAAGGAAATTCTCCAGTACGCCACAGCATGGATGGGCCATGAAGACATAATTCCGAGTGAGAGAAACCGGCCAGGAAAGGACAAATACTCTATGATTTTACAAGACTTGAATTCGGGACACCTGGGTGGCTCAGTTGGTTAAGCGACTGCCTTCGGCTCAGGTCATGATCCTCGAGTCCCGGGACCGAGTCCCGCATCGGGCTCCCTGCTCCACGAGGAGTCTGCTTCTCCCTCTGCCTCTGTCTCTCTCTCTCTGTCTCTCATGAATAAATAAATAAAATCTTTAAAAAAAAAAAAAAACCAAGACTTGAATTCTGGGGACAGACAGAGGTGAGAGCCGCACAGCAAACATGAATGTGCTCAATGTCACCGAACTGCACGCTTAAAAACAGTTAAGATGGGAAAGTTTGTGTTACGTGTATTGTTACCAGGAGAAAAAAAGACATTAAAAAAAAAAGTAAGTCAGAATGTCACTGATCTATACACTTTAAAACTGTTTCAGGCCTTGTGAATTTCTTAGTAAAATAAAACATTTTTGAAAAAGACAAACCAAAAAAACAACTTTCAGAAAGTGGGTTGGTATCTTACCTAAAGGCGTAAGGGGAGCCCAACATTCAGGACAAAATGGAAGACTCGGCAGCAGACCCTCTCCGTCAGCAACCACCGGCACACATCGGGCACTCAGCCCTGCCTGCTCTCGGGAAACTGAGGGCAGAGCCCGGGCTCAGCGGGTGGAAAGGTGGCGTGTGGAGGGCAGCATGCTCCAGGGGACAAGCCAGGCTATCCTGAAAGACTTCCACAAAACCCTCAAGACATCTATATTTCCAAGTTGTAAACATTTAAATGTACATCATTTTCAGAATAAATCAAGGCATGATACTCATGTGCCAAATACAGAACATCAAAATATTCAGCTCTGAGGAGGAGTCCCAGGCACCTGGCAAGCACTCCAATCTTTGTTATATGGACTTGTTTTGTCCAAAGAACACTAGAAAATACCTAAATAATAAATTAGCTAATGTTAACCTTCTAGAGATTTGGATTTTGCTATGTGACTCCACAAAAAGGACTGTTTTGACCCCTGGCAGCCCCCTGGGGATGTGCACTTATTCTCACATAAAAATGCAGAAGACTCTGGGTCTGGTTTTTTACAGCTGCCTTCACTCTGTGTCACTCTCTTACGATCTAGGGAGTCCGCTTCATCAACGCTAACCATCAGCAAACACCGATGGAGCCCGCACCTCTGCCGCTCCTAGTATTTCTACACGGGCCGCCTAAGGTGGGCGCACTGTCCCCATGTACTCTAATTCCCAGAGGGGAAGAAGTGCTTCCGTGCTTCCGTTGGCTCTTCACAGCTAACCCGAAGATGAATTACAAAGGGCTTTACTAAAGCCCTGGCTTACTAAAAGATGCAAAAACTTCCCAACAGATTACCAACAAAGAGCGTGTCTTCTCAAAACAGTCTTTCTAGTTTGTTGTTAATGACTACCAAAATACTCGGGGCCAAAAACCTTCTCTCAGACTCAGGTGACCGGGTGTAAACTGGATACACTCGCAGCAGCCGGATGGCTTCTCCCCATCTACCGCTTAAAGGGGGCCGGCCTCACAAAGGGCCTCAGGAGTCTGAGGCTTCTGGCTCCCGGTCCAAAGCGTGGGCGACATGGGCCCGCTCTGTTTCTTCAAGTGTTAGGAATAAAAGAACACAAGACATAAGGAACACATCTTGAGAACAGGTCTCGGCACCACGGCTGCCCCCCTTGTGTGGAAGACTTGGTTCAGAAACCATTTTCCAGGGGCGCCTGGGTGGCTCAGTCGTTAAGCGTCTGCCTTCGGCTCAGGTCATGATCACAGGGTCCTGGGATCGAGCCCCGCGTCGGGCTCCCTGCTCCGCGGGAAGCCTGCTTCTCCCTCTCCCCCTCCCCCTGCTTGTGTTCCCTCTCTCGCTGTGTCTCTCTCTGTCAAATAAATAAATAAAATCTTTAAAAAAAAATTAAAAAAAAAGAAACCATTTTCCAAAGAGAAGTTCGTTTATGTTTTTGGCTCTTCTGATTCTGTAAAGTACTTGAGAAACATGCGCGCAGGCAGACTGGACATTGAGTGACGCGGTGTTTCGGGTGTGATGATGGTACTGCAGCAGTCCCCTCACTCGGAGACGCGTACGGACCATTCGCAGAGGCAGCGACGTGGGCTGAGAGGGGCGGGGCCGGGCACCCCGCCGGGTCCATCACAGGCTTCTCTCTCCCTTCATATTTGAAATTTTCCAAAACAAAAAGGTTAAAAGAAGAAAAGTCAGACGTGCCACAAGGTTCACAGTAATCTAAGCAGAAGATGACTGGAATTTGCTTGGAAATACATCAAAACGGGTTTTGGGACATGGTATGGACAAAACAGGATTGCACACGCAGTTGGCAACCGCTGAGCTACCTGGTTCATTTTACTATGGGGTCTGCCTCAGTTTACGTTTGGAGTGTCCGTCGTACGAAGCTCTCACACAAGGAAAGAAAGGAAGAAAGGCTCGCAGGCGGGATGCAAGTGAAGAGCGCGTTCCACGACTGCCCGCAGAGGGATCCGGGGCCTGCTGGCTGTGGCCTGTCCCCCCCAACCTGGGCACGCCCCCACCAACACAGGGACACTCCCAGGGAAGGACGAGGGCCGGCAGCGCCCCTGTGCCCTCCCCCCAACGTGGAGACCTGTCCGACTCAGGCCCGCCCCCCGGGTTGCGCGGCCGCCCGCTGCTCCATGCACACGGCAGGCAGGGACCTGGGACCGGCCCGGGACCCCCCTTTACAGACTGCGCTGAAGAAAGCGCAGCTGATGGCCGTACAACAGAATCCAATACTCCGTGTTAGGAGAAACCTCCGCACCACAGGGAACCGATGAGCTATTACACGCTGAGCTCCAAAGGCTCCGTGAAGCAGGAACACATGGTAAAACCACCGGCGCTGGTTAAGCATTTCAGGGAAGAGTGAACAGATAATCATAAAGTGTCACGTGAGACACATCAGTTTCTGCGTACAGACTCCGTCATCGCAAGCAAACTGTAATTTAACATTCTGGAGGGAACACTCTCTACACGTACGCGAGACGCGGAGGGCACCAGGCCCAGGGGCCACTTGGCAGGCCCCCTCCATGTCTCCTTTCAAGGATTGGTGCCGGGTGGGCCAGCCCCGAAGCCCTCCCTCCTGGCAGAGTCCCCCACCCAAGCCCCGGGGCGCCCACCCCACGCAGCCAGGCACACTCACACACAGTTGCATTCCAGCTGCAATTTCTGATAATAAATAAAGAAAAGCGGAGCTTGATTAAAACTTTGGTGACGGTGTGGTCAGCCATAATCAGAACACCTGCCTCTAGATCTGTTCACCTGATCAGGACTGAATTATACCGACCTGAGGTGTAGACAGCCGAGAGCAGATGAGAAAATGAAACAGCACCTCCACTCGGCAGCCCCCTCCCCTTCCTAAGGCTCACCCCAAGACCGTTCTCCGTCCTGGTCCTCCATCAGCTGCGCATCAACGCTGGCCGACCGACTGCCACGGAAGGTGCCTCGTCACCCTTTTATTTTTAATTTACACGTTAAATTGACATTTGCTTTTTCAAACGGAAAACCGAATCTTAAGTATAGCATGATTTGAGTTTTCCAAAGAATCTCCATCAGTGATGTAAATGATGTCTACACACTGAGCCCTGAGTGACACGGGGCTGAGGGACACCAACCCCCGCACAGTCAAAAGCCTGCGTGTAACTTCTGACTCCTCCAAAAACGTCACTACTAACAGCCCACAGTTGACCAGAAGCCTGACCAGTAACAGGAACAGTTAACATGTATTCTGTATATAGTTTGTATTATACGCTCTATTCTTACAATAAAGTCAGCCAGGGGCGCCTGGGTGGCTCAGTTGGTTAGGCAACTGCCTTTGGCTCAGGTCATGGTCCTGGAGTCCCTGGATCGAGTCCCGCATCGGGCTCCCTGCTCAGCAGGGAGCCTGCTTCTCCCTCTGACCCTCCTCCCTCTCATGCTCTCTATCATTCTCTCTCTCTCTCAATAATAAATAAATAGAAATCTTTAATAAAAAAAATGTCAGCCAGAGGAAATAAAATGTCATTAAGAAAATCATAAGGAAAAAAATATACTTAAAGAACTGTATTTACAAAAAAAATCTTTTTTGGTTGTAAGTGGACCCACACAGTTCAAACCTGTGCTGCTCACGGGTCAACTGTATTTCTTCCAGCTGAACCTTAGGGACACTTACTTAGTTATGATACAGACACACAAAGTTCACTGTGAGAAAACATTTATCACTTGTGCAGATTCAAGCTTTACTGTACTTAATAGCATATGAAAAATACATTAGAGTAGACTCATTTTTCAAAATAATTATCGATTTGATATTTGTGAAGTAAGGCTATTGTGCATGCCCGTTGAACTACTGATTACCACCGCCGGCAGAACATTCTATTACCATACAGACGGGAAATGACTAACAAAGCTATCACTGGGAAGAAGCGATTTCTATAATCCCGCGCTACCCCTGTTATCCACACTGCTGATGATCAGTAACTACACTGCTTTAACAGGAACATCGGTGGCGACTCTGTTTACCCTCAGGGCACGGAGCCCTGGGCCCTGCTCACCTTGCCGTCCAGTCCGGAAGGGCCGTTGAACACATACTCCAGCTGAAAGACGACGGCAAACGCAGGGTGACGGGCCGTCTCAGGGAGGCGGAGGCGGCTTCTCAGAACCAGAGCCTGGTTCCCAGAGCTGGGTCAAGAACACAGAGCAGTGGCGGGTCAGGCAGTGCCAGCAAGTGCCCCCAGCAATGCCGCTGAGCTCTGCTGTGTGTCTGGCCCCCAAGGGAGCTCCCAAACCCGAGCCCTTCTAGGTGCCTCAATCAACACTCGTTCCAAATCGCCAGAGCTTATGTCAGGAGGACGGACAATACAGCCAGGTCTCCAGGGAGGCTCATCCTCCAGGGCCAGCCTCTGCCCAGCCTCGCACGTGGCACCCCTCGGAGAGGTCTCTGGTTCTGACTTGGGAATACAGGACTTCCTGCCTGCTGGTTCTCCACCGTACGAGACGCTGACCGCAGGCCCAGTGGGAGGAAAGCATGCCAGGGTCCCCTCGGACCCGAAGCAGTCACAGCTGGAGGCGCCTGTCATGCTAACTCCAGAACCGTCACGGCACAAACCAGGATTCTTCCAACCGGGCAACACTGAGGTCTGCTCCTAACGGGTGTAAGCCAGCAAGAGGAAACAAAGGCACCAGGGAAAAAGCCCGGGCAGACAAGCGTACACTTCACATGCAAAAACAGCTCCACTTTGCTTTGATCCCGGTTATGTGCACCCTCGGACCTCCCAGTTCCACGGGGCCGCACCTCACACCCTGGGGAGAGTACCTGGCCTTCGAGGAGGAGCCAACTTTCCTGTTGAAACTGGCAGAGCGCGTCAAGGCCACGTCCATCTCGGGCACCAGCACCATCACCTGCGGCCTCTGCACGAAGCCCAGACCGTTGTGCACGCCCACGCACAGGCGGCGCTCCAAGATCTCCAGCACGCTGCCGTCCAGCGGAATGCCCCCCTAGGAAAGCACACGTCACCCAGAGTAAGTCCCCGGGCAGAAGGGCAGAAGCTCCCAGGGGAGAGGCAAGCAGAGAAGAAACTGTAACAGCCGTCTCAGGCATATACTTCTCAGGGCAATGCACCCCAGCACACCCTCCCCCCGGAAGACCAAACTCTTGTTCAGGTTCCCATGGCTGAGCTCAATTCTCAAGATGCAGCAAATGAGCAACGGGGGACCCGGGGCCCCGGAGTGCAGGAGCCCACGGCCCCCGAGGTGCCTCTGCCCTCCCCTAGACTCAGACACTGGAAGCTTGGGGCCGAAGGGGCAGCAGGAAGAGGGAGCATATTTATGCAGTAAGTCATAAAACAATAAACACAGAATCTGCCCCAAAGTGATCGCTGGATATTAAAGTGTTTCATCTTAAGAAAAAAATGTACAGGCACTTTAACAAAAGAGCAAGGACAGTCCTCCAGGCGATTACTGTTTATTGAATTATGTGATTGTGGCGAAATGATTCCTGAATCTTCAAGTTTTCTTCATTGCCCATTAATCAAGCTGAACAGACCTAAATTCAGCCTACCAGTCTCTGAGTAACGAAAATAGGGTGATGGAGGTAACGGAGTAGCTACCAGTTGGATACGAACAAAAATACAAAGTAGTAAAAATACATAATAGAGTGATTTTTATGGGAATACATAAAATTCAACAATGATGCTCCTAAAGCATCTGTGTTTCTATTTCATACGAGACATCATATGGAACTACGCTGTCAAAAATGGGCAGCAAGCAAAAAAAAGTCCATCTCATCAATGCGTGCATGTGTGCGTCTAGGTGCGTGTGTGTGTGACTAAGACCCTGCTCACTTCAAAGACTGCTAGGATGGGTACCTACTGATGGAACCACTCATTGTCATGACTGAGAGTCACTAAAGGCCTGCAACGGGCCGATACTAATGCACTTTGGGTGCAACGGTGAACCCAACCATGACCCTGTCCTCCTGGTACAAATGCTCCACAGAGGGACTGATAATAGAGCAATGAACAGGTAAGGAAACCAGGCGCTCTCGGAGAGAGCCAAGCACCTGGACAAAGGAAGCAGGGTGACACACGGACAGAGCCTGGTGGAGGAACGGGCCACGGCCTCAGCAGCACACTCAGGTGGCTGTCAGGGCGGTCGGGTTTGCACTGAGACCTGCAGCCTGAGGGGAGCCACGCAAGGGTCCGGACACAGAGCATACAGGAAAGTGAGCTACCTGTCCAAAGGCCAAGTGGGGACAAGCTGTGGCCTGTGACAGCCAGGAGTTTATGGCAAATGTGTCACACAGGCAGGCAGAACTGGGCACTGTGACGGGGAGCCCCCTTCACAGAAAGCGGGTCTGCCGGGATAAAACGACTAAGACTTCTAGTCATGTCCTCGGAATGAGCCAAATGTCTTTGAGACATTTTGAGACAAAACACAGACTATTTTATTGGTTTCCCTATGCTCATTTGGTGATTTAATTTACTTTTAAATGAAGACTGTTCTAAGATATAACAAAACTAATGTTAGGGTATCGAGGGAACAAAACCCGCGTCACACCAAAGTTAAGACAAAGGGCTGGGTGTCCCTCGCAAGCCACTAAAAGAGGAAGCAGGCAGGACTGCGTCACCAGCGGCTGGGCGGTCCACCCTGGCAGCATCAGCGGCCGGCAGCTTCCCCACCTCTGCCCGGCCCCGCCTGCATCTCCACATTCAGAGTAAGTTCTGCGACGTAAGACAGTACCTCCCGGAAGTGATCGCTGATAAGGAGTTCCAGAAGCTCCTCCTCAAACTTCTCAAGGGAAGGATACAGCGTGAAGAATAAATCGTCCAAGTACCACGTGACAGACTTCTGAAGGCGAGGCTTTCGGAGGGCATCCCCTGAAACAACAAGGGGGCTCATGGAGTGTATCCGTGGGGACAGGGCCACCAGAAGCATCCAGGGGCTCTCACCCACCGAGGTCCAGGCCGTGGCTCTAGGCCCTCCGGGGAGAGAAGAGACCACAGGCACAGCACTCAGACCAAACACTGAATCAGAACCCACCTCCGTTCACACCGAGACGCCAAGCTGATTAAACAAGCCCAGGTTTCATTTACAGCCCGATTCCTCCCCCAACCCTCCTCCGGGAACACATTTTATAATTCAGCAATCCAAAGAACACAGATTACAGAATGCAGGGTAACATCTGTTCCTATCAGCTTGGTTTCCCTTTATCACTGACTTCCTCTCTAGCAAGAACACAGCCAATGATGCCATTTCTTATTTTTGTACGTTTACCTTGAACCATTTGGAAACATGCAGAAATACTCATGAGCACATTAAGCCAACAAGCAAAAACACCGTCTGGGCTGACACCACAAGAGAAAAGTCCCCGTCCTGGGGGGAGGGGGAGAGCAGCCCCGACTGGGAGCTCCGTGAGGACAGAAGGGGTCGCTGGCTCCTGGCACGCAGCTCAGTGCCCAGTGCAGAGCAGGTGCATCAACCCTCGGCTGTGAGGGGCGCTGTCAGGTCTGCGCAGAGCCCTCCCCACCGGGCTCGGGCACCAAGGCAGGACAAAGGCCAAGCCGACCGCCTCCCCACGAGCACACAACCCGCAGGCTCTGCCCTCCCGTCCCCATCACTGCTCTGCTGCCCTCTGTCTCTTCCCAAGCTTTACACATAAGAATTAAGGTGCAAAATCTTAGACCTTAAGAGCAGATTCCAAAGTCAGAGAAAGGAAAGAATTGGCGTGAGACTCGGCGCAGAGGGAGTGGCAGTGAGAGCCCTCGGTCATCCTGCAGGGAGGTAAGCCTGCAGCCAGACCCGGCTTCACCTCTGCGTGCACCAAGACCCCTAAAAACACCCTCTGCCACCTTCTGCCCCACTAATTCCACTTTTTGAAGCTATTCGGCAAAATTAATCAAACGTGGAGGCAAAGCATTATATGCAAGAATACTCATTAAACATTATTTATAATAGAAAAAATAAGAAACAACCAAATGCTCACCAGTAGGGGAATGTTGAGCCAATTACTGTGCCTCCTTATAAAATGAGAACAAAACCCATATTGTCAGAGATTATTCAATGACTGAAAAATAATAATATTGTAGATGAAAACAATACACATAACACTGTGTGTTAGATCATTTAATGCCAATTTTATTTGAAAACCTATGCATTTACATGTATGTAAGGATATGTACGGGAAATAATCACAGATGACTTTATTTCCTTCTTTATGGTTTTCCACACCTTCCCCATCACAAATATGCATTAGATTCTGCATAGTTCACAAATATGCATATGCTTCTAAGAAATTTTGCACAGTCCTTTCTGAATTTAAAAAGAGGTGTTTAAGCTGCTCCGTGGATGAATCAGAGCCCATGCAAAATGCAGGTATAGTTACTCACCACGGCCAGAAGTTAAAAACAACCCCATCAAGAGACGAAGGGGTAAGAAAAATGTGGTCGATCCATACATAGAATGTTAGCCTTAAAAAGGAAGGAAATTCTGACCCCTGGATGGACCTTGAGGACATTGTGCTCAGTGACATGAGACAGTCACAAAAAAGGCAAATACTGGACAGTTCCACTCACAAGAAGTACTTAAAGCGGTAAAATCAGAGGCAGAAAGTGGAAGGGTGGGCACCAGGGGTGGGGGACAGGGACAGGGAGCGAGCGTTTCCCGGGGCAGAGCTGCAGTTCTGCAAGATGAGAAGTTCTGGAGGTGGACGGTGGCGGCGGCTGCACAGCGGTGTGAATGCCCTTCCTGCCCCCAACTGCACGGTTTAAGTGGTTAAAACGGTGTCACACTACATCTATGTTGCCACAATGTTTCTTTAAAGAACAGAAACGTACAAGTCCAACCTTCCATGAAATGGTCCAGCAAGGGTCTGAGGCCCATCCTGAATTACGACCTTCCATCAGAGAAAGAGGACAGAAGAGGTAAGAGAGAGAGGAGCTAAAGCCGGGCGCGTCCCCCGCCGGGAGCCACAGCTGCAGGACCACTGGCCCTGGCACCAGGGCCTCCCCACCAATGGGCCCACGGGCCGCCCGGCAGTTCGGGATCGCTCATGGGGGATTCCAGAGAAGAAGAGTCAGGGCAGCCATGACCCTCTGGGCGCAGAGAAGGAAGGAGCGGGGACTGTCATCAGCAGGAAGAGGACAGGCCTGGCCGACACGACCGCCTGCTGGGGAGGGCTGAGTACTCTTGCCCGGCAGGCGGAAGGAACCGCGTGTCCTGAAACAAGGGAGGACACCACGGTGGTCACGTGCACTCTGGGGCCAGGGCCTGGGGGCCAACCCCAGTTTCTAAACCTCGGTCTCCTCGGCTGTGGGAGCCGGGACGGTGCTGCAGGGACAGAGCTAATACCGTCCACAGTGTGCTCCGTAGAGCGACCAAGAACACAGAGTCACATACACACACACATCTCACCAGACTAATCCTAAATCCTCAGCACGGATTTAGGATTGTCCTGTACATTCTATTCTCCTTATTTTACAAGAGAATCGGGGCTCGGACGTGCTAAGTGACGTGCCCCAGGCCGCCCCACTCACAGGAACGAGTGTGAGGGAGACTCACATGTTTAAGCTGCTAAGCACATGTCCATGAACGACCAGGAAAAGCACTGTGAGAACTTCAGGGAATGAGTGGATTCGCGGATACAGACTCCATGAGTAGCAAGGACGGGACGTGCTGGGAACAGTGGACTCAGGCAGGACCTGGGGCGCCGGCTGATGCCAACCCTCACAGAGACGGGGGTGGCGGCAGGGACAGACAGACTTGTACATGTGCTGGGACCACAACCCATCCCGCAGGGAACCTACCCACCCTCACCAGCCACATACAGAAACTAAAATAGTGGTGGGCAAAGGCCATTTCCCAGACTGACTTCCCTTGGGGATGAGTCCGTCTGGTTCCACGGCTCAAGGGGCAACACTGCAGGAATGGGAGCAAGATCCGGGTGTCCGGAAGGTGGCAGAGCCCAGTGCTTCTGGAAGAGGCCCAGTCCGGGCAGGAAGCAGGCTCTGCACAGCGCCCCCATGACAAGGTGGCCCCCGGGCCCAGAGCCATTAGCAGTAACAAAGAGTCATGACCCTGGTCTCACAGACAGGTGAGAAGCAAGTCCCACACACAGAAGTCAGACAGGGAGAGGAAAGATGGTTCTTCCACCAGAAGACGATACTGAGGAGCCACATCTGCACTGGGTAGAACCATCCGGATCCTGAGTGGTCCAGGAGGCAGGGCAGGACTAGGTGGCATCCGGCCGGCTTTCTCCAGGCCATGTTTTGTGAAAGGTGCAGGCTCTGGAGAAGGGCCTCCCAAGCAGAAAGGCGGCCACAGGGTGGCCACGGCAGAGGACAGTATCCCGTGAAGAACAACAGGTCCTGGGGCTTGGCGCTTCCTAAGTTCTCAGCACTGAGCTTCACCAGCCCATTCCTTTGCTCCCCAAATGCATCTCCAGGGGCAGGTCCCAAGAATGTCCCCATTTTACACAGAGCCTCTCCCCTGCCCACTCCCGCATCCCCCTCAGAGCAGCTTCACCATCTGAAGCGTCACCCCGTTCACTCCACCACCCAACCTCAGCAGCCAGGGCTGACAAAACCTCGGCAGAGCTGACCACCAGGGAGGACTCTTGGCCCTTGTGCTCTGCGACTGGGGCTAGCTTTCCCATGCTTGTTGCCAAGCCTATGGATGGGAACGCAATCCCAAAAACAGCACTGCTCCTACAGGAAAGTGGACCCCCTTCCCTTGGGGACCCCCACACATGCACTGCTGAGAAAACAGGGGTTACAGGCACAGAACAGACAAGAACTCCCTGTAGTGACATCCTCTGGGGAAGCGCTCAGAAACACCCCCAGAGGCCCAACAAGCCCCCCTCCCCATGAGGTCCTAACAGGGTCCCACAGCCTCCCCGGGATGCAGCTCTCCTGGAAGGGCATTTGATTCATCAGAACGCACCTCACCCGACAAACAGCATTGCAAGAGGGACAACAGAATGAGATGAGGGCACCCCAGGCAAGAGCGGAAAGGAGTCTGAGCCATCTGCGTTTCTAAAACACCTGTTGCCTTTGATGGCTGTGTGGGAGGACACATCCGCTCTTGCTTCAGTCCATCCAAGATATGAGTGCTCCACTAAGAGCCCGGCACTGTGCCCTCTCCCCAGCTCAGGGCCCGTGCACGCGGATCCACAGATGAATCACGGACAAACCCAAGCATCCGTGAACCCGTTTAGAGATACAAGGCACATGCCAAACCCGGAGCAGTGGTTTGTTCTGGGGCGGTTCCCTGGGGAGTGAGACTGGAAGGGAGGACTTTCCGTGAAAATTACCTTTGTCAGGTAACACCCGGAGCTCACACAGGGCGGGCACCAGCTCTGCTCCTGCCACCCCACCACCACCCCTGCCTACCCGCAACCGCGGCGCCCACATGGGCCAACCCAGAAGGTGAATCCCGGCGAGGACCCGAGTGGCCCCGGGAGCCTGGGAGATGCGCCCCACAGCCGCTGAGGTGCTTGGATGCCGTCTGACCTCCAATAGCAGGTCGGCATGGGGGAAGCAGCATTTCCAAGGAGCACCTCAGGGGACTCCCGAGCAGGGACTCAGGAGGACCACGTGGGACACCAACCAGAACAGGCCACCATGGGGCAGACCGGTGGACACAGTTCCGACAAAACACTTCTCCAGAGAGCTCTGCCGAGCTCTGGTTTAACAGATGAGGAAGCAGGGCCTGGACCAGCGCCCCGCCCAGGACGGGAGGGCCGACGGCAAAGGCCGCTTCGGGGGCACGTCCGCATGAGCAGGCCTGCAGGATGGAGCGGCCATTCGGTTAAACCAAATGAAGGGACCACAGGGGGAGGCAGCAAGGAAGGAAGGGTGGGAGATGCACGTCACTGAGGTGGGTGTTCAAAGCCATGAAGAAGAGGTCAGAGTGAAGCGAGTCTGCAGGTCAGGGAAGAAACGCGTTGAAGGCCCCGTGTGAGGAGGATGGTCATGGAGGACGAGCACGTGGCAAGGACAGCGGCCTTTCTCTGCCTCTCTGCCGGGCACACGCTGCTGCCAGCCACGGTTCCCAGGACTCCCCCTGAAGCACCACAGCCATCCAAACCATGGATGGTGGCCTGTGGACACGAGCACAGAAGACAGAGCCTCCATTCAGGTCTCCCCAGAGGCCCTGCCCACTCCCAGACGCTGCCAGTCCACGGCTCAGTCCCACCAAGCCCCTGGCGGGGGGCTGTGGCCAAGCATTCCGGCCGCTCCAGACGCCTGTACGGTGTCGGCAGGCTTGGGGGAACGTGAGGCCCTCCGCTTTCCTCCAGCACTAGTAGCCCTGTGAGAAAGTGGGCCCAGGACCCCTACAACCCCCTGAGCACCTGGCCAGGAAGCCTCCCCCGGCACTCCCTTCAGTCCTGGCACTGGCCCCTGGCCTTCAGGTCCAGTTCTAGAAAACAGGCTTCCCACTTATATTCATGACTAAGCTTTCAGTGCACTCAGCTACTTTATGCAAAGCTCTGTGAGCGATCTGAGCCTTCTCCCAAACGAGAGAATTCCTGGTCCCGATCCCGCCAGACCACCCCCACAATGACCGAGGCAGTGGCATGCCACCGGGCACGTGACTGGCATGCAGATCTGCGGCCACAAGAGCGGGCCAAGGAGCCCCAGCATGGAGACTCACTCTAAGCAGGGCACGGGGCTCTCCTTGCGAGAAGCAGCTTTCAGGAGCATGTGAGCAATTACCCTGGCGCTGACGCGGCTGCCCAGGCCTGTCAAACCGAAGCAAGTAAAAAGGTCAGAACAAGCGAGGAAGAGAAGACCACATGAGGGAGGCTGCATGGATTTCCTGGCTGCAGAAGAGATGATGGACCTGCTAATCTGGACCGATTCAGAGAGCTTCCCTCTAAGAGCCGCTCGAGGACAAAGGCCTGCCTTCCTTCTGGGGAGTGACAGAGAGCCGCCAAGAGCGGTCACAGCTAGGACCTGTCATTTCCAGTCACTCCCGGGTTGAAAATTACTCTTCAAAAGTCAGTCCTCACACAGATGAGTCAAAGTGGGGGGTGAGGGGGAGCCTGGTGACTATGTCGATGTCCGTATCCTGGCCGTGACCTTGCATTACAATTTGGGGGAAACTGGGCAAAGGACACACAGAGTCTCTCGGCATCATTTATTAAAACCACATGTGAATCTAGAGCGACCTCGATAAAAATTCCAGTTAAAAACAACTCAATCCTCCTGTATGGTGGCATTTTACAAAGGAACAAATATCCATGTCCCCATACGGCACCAAAATAAAATCAGACCCTCTGCCAATTGCAAGTGAATTCCACTGCTGAAGCCAGTACCAGTCCCTGCCTTGGCCCTTTCAGGGCTATAAAATATTATTCAGCAAAGAAACCCTTTTCCAAGAGTGAGTCACAAAAGCCTAAAAGACCCTGGGCAGGATTTATAACACAGACAGCAGGCTCAGTGCGAACTATAGATCAGCCTGGTGAGCTGCAAGTCAGGGGAAGGCAGAGCAAAACGGGTTTCTTTTCTCAGATGGTCACCAGGGGACTTGGTGAGAAGCTGTGTTTCAGTCTCTCTTCCCGAGAAGAGGGAGTATGCTCCCGCCCGCTGAAGTCAGCGCTCGCCCGCCTGAGCACCTCACGGCTCCAGTCCCAGGGTCGCTGGTCATTAGCTTTTAAACAACAACATAAACTGTCATCAGGGTTGCAATTCCTCAGACACTGCCTGCATCCAGCAAGTGTCCAGTGACCAACAGGCTGCTCCACTGGGCGGGGGGGGGGGGGGGGGTTGGTGACAGGAAGCCACCAAGGTTCAGACTGCTCCTGAAGACGTGACCTTTAAGGGTGAGGCGCTGGAATCATGCCCTGGTCTGTAACTGGCCCCTTTAATTCCCCAGACCGACATAAAATACAAGAGCTAACTCGGGGCCCTCGGAGCTGCCCTTTTGGCTCCAGCAGTGACCCGGAAGCAGCCCACAGACGAGATACGGTACTTCTAGGTTTGATGGGCAGCTCTGCTGACCCCACTGGCAAGTCAGAGTAAGGGACAAACCTCAGGCCCCAACCACCGTCTGCCCACCCAGAACCCCAGGTCAGAAAGACTTCCGTAAGCTGACTCGAAAGCAGGTGCGCACCTAGGATCTGGACATCAGCTCGTAGCACAGCAGTACTTAGGGGGCCGAGGTCTCAGCACCAGATGCAAGGTTGTCATGTTGTTTTCAGTGTCAATGGCAATGACCATGCAGCATTCTGTCTCCCTGTCTGACCCCTCCTTCCCTCACAAGAGGACACAGGCAAATGACCGAGGGGGAGAAGACTTCCCATGTGGGGCTGTGGGTGGCGGGGGACTGGAGCTTGGTAAGCCATGGCAGATCCAAAGCTGGGACCCCTCCTCGGACTTGTCCTGTTCTTCGTTAATTTATCCTTTCTCATATATCATCATCTCTACACTGATGAAACAGTGACCTTGTGATGGTGACAACCACCGCGGGCCCATCCCAGAAATTCCCGAACTCAGGTAACAATGTCTGCATCCCAGCATGGACCAGAACACCAAGTCATGTGCAAGGACACTGTTACTGAAAACACTCCCATACTGGAGCTGAGCTACCTCTTTTCTTTGGGGTCTTGAGTGTTTCTGTTCTAAGTCACACCCACGCCCAATCCCGCTCTCTCCAGAACAGAACAGGGAGGGAGCCCACCCCAGACGAGAGGTTCCAGCAAAGCCAGTGGGAAAGGACTGGTGCGGCCCCTTCTCCTGGATTCCTCAGGTCAGACAAAAAGCCTCCGAAAGGGCCCAGAAGGAGCATGAGGCCCAGGTCAAGACCTGTCAGCAGGCCTGAGAGCAGAGCACACCTCTGCGGTGATCTCCTGGTGGTGAAGGCATTGTCCCTAACCCACCGCTGGAGAACCTAGTTCTAAAACACACCAGGACAGAGCCATGAGGCTTGCACGTGGATTTCAGTTTTCAAACATAATCAAGCCACCGCACACCCACGTTCACAGCAGCATTATGCACAAGAGCCAAAAGGCAGAACCACCCAAGTGTCCATGGAAAGGTAAAAGGATAAACAAGATATGGTCCAGGATGGACCTTGAGGACATGATGCCAAGTGCAATAAGCCAGTCACAGAAGGGCGAATACTGAGGAGGGGCCCGGAGGAGTCACATTCATAGAGACAGGAAGCAGGACGGTGGTGGCCAGGGGCTGGGGGAGGAGATGCGGGGAGCTATTATTTAGCGGGGACAGAATTTCAGTGTGCGGACATGAGAAAGTTCTGGAGGCAGATGGTGGTGATGGTTGTACAAGAGGTGAAAGTACTTACTGCCACTGAACTGCATACTTACAAGTGGTTAAAATAGTAAATTTATGTTATGTCTATTTTACCACAATTTAAAAATAATAATAATCAAGCCCCTGATATGGTCCAGTAAGGCTGAGAACTAGCAACAGTGGTTTTCCTGACCTTGGTCATAAAGACATGAACTGTTTGTCTTACAAAAGCATTTCCCAAGAGAAGAAAACAGAAATGACTTGAGGGATGCGAGATGCTGCTCAGAAGGGACTACAAAGAGAGACAGCATTGCCCTGCTCCTCTCCCTCCCCTCCCCTCCCCCCCTCCTCCCCTCCCCCTCCTCCCCTCCCACCACCACCCCTACCAGGCTGTTTGCTGAGGGTGCTAGCCATGCCCAGCCCACCCCCCACCATAGAGCCTGATTCCTACGAGGTCTGACCATCAGCTAACACAGACTCACCAAACGGAGAGAGACAGAGCAGCCCTTACCCTTCTCTCCGTGAGCTGGAAGGAGGCCGGGTATGTGCTGCAGACCAGACACCAGAAGGTTCTCGGGAAGAAGGTGGAACACAGGCTCCAGGAGCGGGTGGGGCCGGAGGGCGTACTGCAGGCTACAGCTCTCAAGCAGGGTCATGTGTCTGTTTTCTGGGGGAGAAAACACCTATGTTCAGCTGGGACCAACGGCCCTCTCGGTCAAGCCAGCCAATAAACTGAGCATCTAAGAAAGAAACACCACAAACAGGAACTGTATTTTTCCACGGAGAAAGGGGAATTGCTCTGTTAGTTCAGCCCAAAAAGCAAAAAAGAATCAACCCTTAGTAACTCTGCTAAAACTGCAGTGACAGAGATACTTGCTTTTAACGCAACTTAACAAAACTCTCCTGCTCACCTCCCCCCCCAACCCCCGAGTGGTGAAGTCCAGGCACTGCCTGGTCCCCATTATCAGAGGGGGGCTAGAAGGCACCTGGACCCCAGCTGGCCTCCCTCTCCCACTGGGCAGCAGGACTAGGCCCTGGGGGCAGCATCCTCTGAGACAGAGCCCGGCCCTCAAGGACACACGCTCTGCTGGGGCAGCCAAGACACAAACACACTGATACCCAGCAACAGGGAGAACGGGATCGAACCCCAGGAGAGGTGCAGACAGCGGACAGTGAGCTAGGGGGAAGTGGATTGGGAGAGCATCCTGGAGAAAGCAGCAGCTGAGAAGGGCCCAGACACAGAGCTCCAGAGGGTGGAGGGAACAGCACCTAGCAGCCGTGCGGCCCCTCCTCAGGCGCCCCCACACCACACAGCCTTCACTCACTGCCCCAGGACAACGTGCTGCTTATGCACATCCTGCAAGAGGGCCTGATCCAGGGGCACCTGGCTGGCTCAGCTCACGGAGCATGTGACTCTCGACCTCAAGGTCATGAGCTCAAGCCCCACGTTGGGCGTGAAGCCTACTTAATATAAAATAAGAAGTTAAAAAAAAAAAAAGTCCTGACCCTAAGGATGCCCCAGGACACAAAATGCTGGCGAAGTAATGATTAGACTCAACTGAGAAATAACCTAAGAGCCAATCTTTATCAGTAAAATTAAGCTTCAGACTAATCCCTCCTCTACTGTGAAACTTTCACCAAATTCAGCGGGCAGTGGAAGGGATGGGGTTGGCTTGATTTTTAACTCAGGCCATGGGGCATACTCAAAATTCCCATCACAGAATCCAGCCAACAACTCAAAGACACAGAAAGTCACCCTCCCAAACAGATTCAGCTCCAACCACTGGACCCCCTCCACACCCCCTGCCCTGGGCCAGCACGGGCCTCCACCCCAGGCCTCCAAGATGGCTTCCACTGGGCGTCCCCGTCCATCCTCCACACGGCCGGCAGCCAGAGTGGGCCACACAGCCCTCCGGGTCACGGAGGTGCGGCAGGAAGCCCTGCTCTGCGTCAGGCAGGCCCCCCGGCTGCTGGGCCTCGAGGAGGATGGCGGGCGCCCCTGCAGGACGGTCCTCTGCAGTCGGGCACAGGTGGACGGCCTTGCCGAGACGGACAGAACCCTTGCACCTCGAAGTGAAAGTTTTCTGGTGCCGGCGTGTCCGCTGACAAACAGCAGCTACTTCATCTGGTGCGCACGGCCGCCGCCCCGGAGCCTGGGAGGCCCACAGCCCTCCCTCCCAGCGGCTCGGGGCTGCCTCCCGGGGCCATCTGCGCGAAGCAACACCCTCCCCTCAGGCCAGCGCATCACGGCTCCTGCAGCTGTATCAAAAATCCAAGCCCATGATACACTTTGCCCTAATCCGCTTAATAAATCAGCTAAGCTGACACTGGTTTAGGCTGAGAAAGAGCACAAGATGGACTCAAAGCGGGTAACCCTCGGGAAAGTTATAGGGAGGACAGAAGGAAGGACGGGAGGACTTCCACGGCAACGCCGCAGGCCCGGCCGGGAGGGCCGCATCTCTTACGTTCGACGGGGTCCTGGAGCCGCGGGTGCAGGAGGGCTCGGGGGGTGCCGTGATACAGCCTCAACCTGCAAAACAAGCCCACAGAGCGCACGTCAGCCCTCTGCATCGTGCCTTCAGTCCCGAAACGTCAGCCACACTTCTCACCCCACACCTGCTAGAGCCTTCTCAACGCCATACAGTCGCATCCTCTGCAGAAAAGAGACGGCTGAGCCGAGCAGCCGCCCCCGTGCCCCCAGAGCTCCTGGCCACACACCTCCAGGGCACAGACAGCATCGCCTCAAGGCACCCAAGACCCAGGGGCTAGAAACACTACACCAGGGAAATTTATCATCTCTGACGCGTCCCACGAAAGACAACATCTGAGGAATCCTCAAGGCTGTGTATCTAGAGCAGTGCTTCTCACCCACGGATGACACTGCCTCACAGAGGACACCGTTCGGAAATATTTCTGATCATCACAGCTGGGAAGGGAGGGAGAGTGCTTCTGGCATCTGCTGGGTAAGGCCTGGGATGCTCTAGCCCCGCCCAGAGTGACAATGGAAACTCACTGTTCGTGAAGAACATACTATTTAGCACCCACGGAACCTTACTGATGTGGGAAACAAAGGCAGAAGAAAAATGATTACTACCTACAGCCCAGTGACAAGTCCTTGAAACAGGCAGAGTGACCTTCCTCTAGGGACGCAGCTGCCTCGGTGTTAATACTTTGCTAAAGGCAAAAGGCAGTCTTAGCCTGACCCCCAGGACCCTCTAAGTCTACTTTAACATAAAAAAATTCCTTTGGAAACCTCCTTTATCTCTATCCCCCTCAAGATACATGTTGGCAATCATCCCCCAAGCATATGCCCCACCGATATACATCGGAAGGGTCTCATGATTCAGGTTTTATTAGACGGTAATGAATGACCTTTCCCCAACAATAATAGCTCAAGGCCCTGGAAACCTTGCTTCCAAATTCCTTGGAGACTTACGCTCTCCCTGAACCCCTCCCAACTTGAGAGTATATAATGGGCCACCACTCACACGCCGGTGCAGCTCTTCCTGCCCACGGGTCCTGTCCCCAGGCTTTTTGTACCAAAGACGTCTCAAGAATTCTTTCTTGGCCGTTGGCTTTGAACCCTAACGCCTTCCCTACATCACTTAGGACATGCATGGCGTTATCTCTCACGCCCAGATGATGAATCAGAGTCAAGAGTTTGGGTCACTGGCCTAAAACCCCACAGGAATAAGTGAGAGCCCACCTCCATTGACTCCCACACCCAGGGCCTGAGCCAGTCCCACTCCAGCCTAGAGGACACTTCCTTGGCTTACTCAGAAATGGCAAATAGTTAATCCCACAGGACACACTGTTAGGAACAGACCACAAGCTGACCATCATAAAGCTTTCTAGTATGGCCAGTGATAAGCAGTTAATTCTCCACAAAACGATGCTGGAAACCCCCAAGGATGAAGAAAACGAGGCAGATACCGCTTGTCCTGGGAGGCAGAGGTAGGAGATTCCAGCTTGTTGCCAAAGATCCGAAGAATTCCAAAGCCACACGACAGAGCCTGGAGGGAGCCGTCCCGCTTCCGGCCTTCGGTGACCACCTCGACCACAGCCACCACGTTAGGGTGGTTTAAGGATGTGTGAAAGTACACGGGCTGCAAGACAGAAGCCACAACTTCAGTGACTGACCATCCGCCCGCTGCCGAGAGACTACAGGAGAGGCGCAGGTGCGTTCGCTCGGCCGTCGTATAAATGCCACAAGCGCGTGGCCGCGGGGAGCCCCGAGTCCCTTCCAGGGCGCCGGAGAGAGTAGCCACAGTACAGCAGCTCCCTCGGAGTCAAGGAACACTCCGGAGCGCCCAACACCCAGGACATCAGACTGCTGGCTTCTGCTCCAGGAGCTTCCCACCCCCAGAAGAGGCCGACAGACAGCAGGTCCTCTGTGTGCCCCCCCATGGCCCGGCGAGGACCCGGTCACTGCAAACACACACACACACCTGCTGAGCCACTTCACGGAGCACTCGCTGCATAAAAGTTCAACACAACTCGCCGACACTGTAATCCCTGTGCGATGGGTAACCATTATGAAGTTACCTAAACTAATGCTCTTTGAACTAAGCAGGAGCCTTAGATTTCTGGAAACGCTTTGTAATCATCCCCAGGTCAGAGCCCAACTAACATCTTTTTATGACAAAAAATCGCCTTGACATCATTTTCTAACAAGATTTTTTTTTTTTGGATGGAAGCCAAGCAGATGGTATTCAGGTCGCTCTTAAAAGGTTTCCCACATGTATGTTCCCACTCCTCAGATGCAAATGGAGCCCCAGCTGGGCCCCATCCCTGCCCATCACCAGGGGGCGGTGGAATGGGTCAGATCCACCTGCGTCCAGCCAGCCTCACTCTGATGTGTGCTCCCAGAGGGAAAGAAAGCACCTCTGCTCTTCTACCTCATGAAGCCCAGACCGGCTGCTTTTGCCCGAGTGGCTCAGTTGGTTAAGGAACTGCCTTCCGCACAGGTCATGGTCCTGGAGTCCCGGGATCGAGTCCCGCATCGGGCACCCTGCTCATCGGGGAGTCTGCTTCTCCCTCTGACCCTCCCCCCCCCATGTACTTTCTCTCATTCTCGCTCTCTCAAATAAATAAATAAATATTAAAAAAAAAAAGAAAGAAAAGAATAAAATTTATGGGCGCTTGGGTGGCTCAGTCGGTTAAGCGACTGCCTTCGGCTCAGGTCATGATCCTGGAGTCCCGGGATCGAGTCCCACATCAGGCTCCCTGCTCGGCAGGGAGTCTGCTTCTCCCTCTGACCCTCCCCTCTCTCATGTGCTCTCTCTCTCTCATTCTCTCTCTCTCAAATAAAAGAAAAAATAAAATAAAACTAATAAACGTCGTAGGCACAGAAGATGGGGACTGCGGGGTTTTGCAGAACAAACCTAGATGGAGGCACTGAGCTGTGGCTCTGGATGCAGAGGAGTCCCCGGAACTGCGTCTAGGGGACAAGCAAGGGTGCTGGGCCACTCGCTGAGCACAAAGACCACCCCCCGCCCCCACCAAGTCAGGGACCGGTAAGGCAGGGCCAGGCTGGGCCACTGCGAGGATGCGATTTAAACGTGGACTAATCCCCCATTAACGAGTCATTACCATGGTGTCACCAGGAAAACGTTTACTGTAATCACAGACTGTCAGCCCAGGATAACAGAGAGACACATTAAAACATCAGCCATGAGATATAAATCGTTATTCTATTATCTTTTACTGCAAAATGATGAAATAATGACCACTTACCGCTGACAGGTGGTTGGACCAAAAGAGAATTATGTTTCTGTTTCCAAGACTCAAGAACTGTTTCCGAAAGCCCCGCTGTGGAGTTGGGTCTGTCCCTGTCTCACCTCTTATATTTATACCTGTGCACATCCGTTTTAGGAACAGTGCCCACTTTCCCTTTTGGCAGTGAAACAAGTATTTTAAACCCTGATGCAAAGCCACAGTCATCGCCCACTTAGAGGTCACCTTGAAATTGCTCTGCCTGGAGGCCGTGGGACCAGCTGCTTCGGCATGTCCCGAGTTCAGATCTATGGCTGCCCCCTCTCCCTCCCGTTTACCCCCGAAAACAACTGTTCTGAGACCAAATCAACAAGAGCAGAGCCCCATTGTTGTCTGCAAAGACTCCATCTTCAACCAGGAGGGTCGGCGGCTGGAAGTGCAGCATCCTGACCACGACCCGAGGTCTGATGGGTGTTACCGTGAAGGGCACGTGCTCTTTTCCAAACGTAATTTACGGACCCTTCAGTGTGGGAACAGCACCGTGCCGAAGAATTTCTAAGGAACCTGAAAACACAATCCCACCCTCAATTTCAGAGTTAAAAGGTAAAGGCTAGATTAGGCAGGCATAAAACACAAACCCTGCTCAGGACTGACCAGAAGCATGTGGAAGGAAGTAAAAGCCTCCCAGGGGTGAGAGCCCCAGGCAGCTCTGCGGCTGGTTAGAAAACAACCCAGCAGGCCCCACCTGTGCTAAGCCCCAGTCAGCAAACCAAGGACGCCTGACCCAACTGCCCTTTCCACCTGTCCCAGGCACGCAGCCTTTAGCGTGCAGATCCGGAATCCCCTGGTCAGCGCCAGTGAGGCAATCTCCTTGGATGACCCCTCCCGCCTCCCACCCCCAGGAAGGTCACCTTGCCTGAAAAGTTTCTCTTTGCCAGAAACTTCTTCCCACCCCTCTGTCTATAAAAGCCCTTCACTCTGTCCAGCTCGCCGGAGCTCCTTTCTATTTGCTAGATGGGATTCTGCCCAATTCATGAGTCGTGGATAAAGCCAATTAGATCTTCAAATTTACTCAGTTGATTTTTGGTTTTTAACGAGCTTTAATCCCCTGGTCGCCTTGCGGGGACTGTCCCCAGGAGGGCAAAGCCGGGCCAGCCCGGTTCACCCATACCTAGGCGCGGTGCCCGCCACACACCCCACCAGCACTCAGCTGAGCAAGAACCGCAAACAAGCCCTTCAGACTAAGGACGTTTAATTAGCACCGTGCAGCAAGCTTTGAGAGGAAAATCCTATGCATCAACTGAAATTGCATGATTAAAAGTTTGAGTCAAGCCCATCAAATTACCTGCAAGAGAGGGCCTCTCAAGACCAAAGAGGGGGGCCCGCGTTCACCCCAGTCACATCCCACTCATCCACATTTGACAGGTTTCCTCCCTGACAGGATAAACAGATTAATAAATCATGGAAATGCTCCTGTCTTAATGCCTTCATCTTCAAAAACACAGACACCATTTTGCCTCGGGGCGAGGTCCCCATTTCTCACCCACATGACAGAATTGAAATTGGGCCTCTGGTGATGTGCCTCCCTGGGGACGTTGCAGCCATGCGTCCCCAACGGCACCGCCACCCAACCTGCCCCCTTCAGTCCCAAGCAGAAGGCTGGGAGGCACAGCCAGGGAAGAGCAGAGCGGAGATTACAACAGTGCCTTCCAAATAATTCTTTTTAAATCAGCCTTTAATAAAATATCTTCAGGAAGGCAGATAACTTACAAACACTTCCTGCAGCCTCCCCCTTGAGGCTCGGATGGCTTCCCGTACACTTCCCACCCTAAGACTGAACGCTCCAAGCATGGGGAACTCGGCTACATGAAACTCTCTGCTGGGAAAGGCAAAGTCTCCAGTTCCAAAGTCAAAAACTTTTGTTCACCCAGGACAGAGCCCACCATTACCCACAGCAAACAACACACGAGGATCCAGACCCACCAGGAGACGTGTCCAGCCCCAAATGTCAGCAAGCCGAGGCTGAGAAGCACTGTCCAGAGTGACAACGTAAACTTCAGCCCCGGCTGACGGGGTGACATGCTGCCTTCTCCGTCCTGCTGTGTCCAGCTCCTAAACAGAGCCTGGCACCATGTGCTTGCTGAATGGATGCCCACTGCTTACACGGTGTCTGTTCATGAAGACATATTATTTAGCAGTGATGTAACCTTATGACATGCACGGCGTTATCTCTCACGCCCAGATGATGAATCAGAGTCAAGAGTTTGGGTCACTGGCCTAAAACCCCACAGGAATAAGTGAGAGCCCACCTCCATCGACTCCCACACTCAGGGCCTGAGCCAGTCCCACTCCAGCCTAAAGGACACTTCCTTAGCTTACTCAGAAAAGCAACCTCAAATACCCCACAGTATATACTATTACAAACAAACAACACAAGTTGACAAATTTAAAGCTTTCTATCGTTCCCCATGGCAGGTAGTTAAATCTCCATGCAATGAAGGCCCAATACTAGAAGCATCCTGGAGAGCAGTCATCCCCCCACTTCTGGCTCCTAGTCCCTGGGGTGCTTTCTGTAGAGCCGGAGAGGATGGGGCCCTCCGCAGAGGGAGACTCTCCACAGTCGGCACCCGAGAGAAGGACGCTGCCCTCCGGCTCCTGCCGTGGTCATGTACACTGGGGAGCAGCCCAGACGACCCGTCAGAGGCAGCGCGGCTGTGGGAGGAGAGGACCAGCGCACGTTCCAGAAGCAGGGGATTAATCAAGTCACTTAGAAGAGCTTCCAGAGTTTCCTTGGGATTACATTGATATTCCTTGACAGCATGCACTTTTAAAGAGAGAATGACATGGCTCTCTTTACTCTGATGGATGAGAACGTTCAAGAGCATCTTCTCGTGGTGTTGGTTAAGGGAAGCAGAAGCAACACAGTTAGCTGTTATCTCGAGCTCAGACGGCTGGTTCCCCTGCTCCTCTGGCAACACCCGGGCTGAGGCAAACCCGGGGTGGGAGCAAGTCCCATCTGCATGGCGGTCGTGTGTGGACAAGCCCTAGCACTCCTGCACACTCACTCCCATAAATTAGGAGGAGGAGGGAAAGTGAGACTGTCATGGGAAGCCTGCACATGGTTAGTTAAGGGTAGAATTTAAAGAATTATGTCCATCTCAGAAAGAAAATGTAGAAACTGCATGGTACTTTGGCTTCCCAGATTATTTTTCTAAAGATACTTTTTGAGAGGTTGAACAAATTATTAACCATCTCAGCAAAAGTGAAAGGCAATTCCTCTACACGAGGATGGTCTGGAAGGGCGGCTCAGCACTCTGGTCTCTAAGCCGAGAGGCTCCATCAGGCAGCGCCCGGGAGGCCGAGTCCGAGGGGGGCAGCCCAAGTCCGAGGGCGGAGCCTGAGGAGGGAGGCCGAGGGGGCAGGAATTCATCATTCTTGGAAACACCAGCTCGGGTTCAAGGCAAGATTTCCTTTTTCAAGGTCTTTTTCCAGGACATTGTTTGCCAAGTAATAAAATCGGGGCTAAACAGGACACTGGCGACTCAGGAAAAACCCTGAGCACCTGAGCTTGGGTCACTAATCCACGCTGGGACTGGACAGCCACGATGATTCCAAAGATGGTCCCCTGCTACTGGCGGCCTGCCCACCTCCAATCAGATTTCCCCCATGCCACCACTGAGCAGTAAAACCAGAAAACACAGGCACTTAGCAAGACCAGAAAAAGATCACCGAGTTTCAGAGTCCCCTCAAACCAGGGCACAGTGTACTTATGTCCCTCCCGTGTGTCAGGGCCGCCACGGGAACGCTCTGCGTTCCAACGGCCTGTGTGCACGGACACACGGACATATGCACATGCCGCACACGGGATGCTCTTTCATTAACTAAGCTGGAAAGACACCTATTTTCCCTGTATTGGGAGCATCGAGGAAATGAGAGGAAGTGCTGGGCCCAGAGGACGCTGCTGAAGGGCGCGGCCGCCGGCTGGAGCGCATTCCTGGGGCGCCACTGGCCTCTGCTGTCCGCCTTGGGCATAGCAGCTGGACCCCAGCAGCTTCCCGAGCAAGCCCGTCACTCGGTTCCGCCCACTGGCCCTGCTGCAGGCTCCGCTTCAGCAACTCCAGGGCTGAAGGGTGCAGAATCTTCCAGAAACGTTAAACACTGTGGGCCTCACTAACCCGCCATCCCCTGTCGCCATGCCCAGCTCAGCAGAAGACGAAGTGTGAGGGCAGCTGAGGCTGAGCAGGAGTGGCGCTCGGCTCCCCCGACTCGTGACGTGGCCCTGAGCTGTGAGCCAGGAGGGCTCAGGACCAGCTGACATCTGAAGTGTCCCAGTCCCACAACCGGCGTAGAGCGGAGGTCTCAGGGGGTAGGAACGTTACGCCTGGACAAGTCCAGGAGGAGCAGGCCAGTTCCGCAGGGTCACCAGAGCCGAGCCACTCCAGGCAGAGCACGGCCTGTGGGACATCCCACCACTCACCGCGGGCCACGGAAAGGTGGACTGAGGGGAGGACACGGAAGAGGGACTCATTCCAAAACCAAAACTGCAAAGCACTCCGGTGCCAATTTCAGCGCACGCCTCCATCCCTCGACTCTCGAGACTCTTCCAATCGGAGCGTGCAGGGTCCCGGAGCAGACGCTGGCAGGCGCAGGCCACGGAGCTCCGGGCACTCCTGGCCTCCTGACCTGCTGGATCACTCTTCAGGGAGGGACCTATAATACCGACTCCGGAGGAAGGTGGCGCGATGGAATCACGTAGATGTGCTGTGAGCCGACGCCAGCCCACGGCTGACTCCCCACTAGGGGACTTCAGCACTCACTGTAGAAACTGTCACATACCAGGCGTCCCTGGGCCTGATTGTACACATGGCAAAGAGAAGCCCGAAGCCCAGCCCTCGAAGGCCGCCCCCCAGGGCAGCAGAGGCTGAGCCCGGGCCAGGTGACCAGCCAGGCCAGGGCCCCGCCGCTCCTGGCGAGCCTCGTCCTGCTGCATCAGGGGTGCGACGGCCACGCATCACCTGTGCTCACGGAGCCCTGTGAGGAGTCCCAGGGGCCCACACGTGATCACGCACGGCGTGGCCAGCCCGAGACCTCCCAGGGGCATTGGCATGTGCTGTGAGACAACCTTAACACAAGACGCACCTTCTGTCCCCAGGACGCATGTTTTAGGCAGGCTCCATCGGACCTTCCTGGCCTCTGGGGGCAGGCGCACCCTCCACTACCCATGAAGGCCGGGCTCCCAGGAGAATCACTCCACGCCCAACCACAGTCTTAGCTCCGGGGGGCAGCCAAGTGCAAAGAGCAGCATGGGTTCCATGGCCCCCGGCCATTTCGTGACTGAGCCGGGACAGTCCCCAGCAGAAAAGGGCCACGCTGGGCTCTGGCTCATGCAGTGACACCTCCATTATTCACAGCATGACCTGTCCCTCCAGCCCTACTCTACACATGAGAAAGACCAAGTCAACGGGGCCTCGGCCCTCTCCAGACCTGTGACCGTCAATCAAGCAGACCCGCCGCGCTCAGAAGCCCAGCCTGTGCACGTGCAAGCCCACAGCGCCTCCGCTCGCAGCTCTTCCCAGGTTCGGCTTCAGTGTTCGCTGCGAGGGGAGACCCTCCTTCTTCGCGTTCCCGTGGCAGGTCCCCCTTCTCCCCCGGGGACAGAGCGCACTGGTCTCCTTCCAAAGCTTACCACAACTTGCAATGACTCTGTCACCTGCCTTGGCGTGTCCCCCCCCCCACCCCGTCCTGTGCCGCAAGTACCACGCCCAGGCGGCCCACCACCACCCCCTGGCACCCAGCTGCAGGGCTGAACAGAGCTTGTACTTGGTGCAGCTGAACCAAGACAGAAAACGCCCACCTGCATGCGGCCAGACACAACCAAGTGGGCCAAACCGCGTTAGGAAGCAATACCAATGCAACCACCCAGGGTGGAAGCGGAGGCCAGGGTTCGAGTCCAGGCTCTGCCACCTGCTACCTGGACAAGTCACCTTCCTTCTAAGTTTCAATTGTTCATCTTTAAGACAAAGAAAGAAGCCAAAATGAAAGAAGGGGGACAAGGAAGGTGAGGGGAAACGGGGGAGCCAGATGAGATCGATAATTTCCTAACTTCGTTCCAAGAACCTCAAGGTTCCTTGAAGGCGAGAAGACCCCCAAGTACTCCTGCCCTACGGTTTCGAGAGCCACGTGCTCTCGTCTGTCCGGGACGCTGGGCTTCCACGCAGGTTTTCTCTGCAGACAAAGTGCCCCAGTGCTAGACAAGCTTTGCAACAGCCCCTCTGCTGCTCTGTGGTGTCCCCCGGGTCTGAGACGCACGGGTCGTGACCGCGGGTCATATCCCCTGCACCTCTGCTCTGGACCACAGAGCAGCCCCCCCCCCACCCCCACCCCGCCGCCACGGCCCACCTCATCAAAGACGATCCTGGACGGCTGCCTGGAGAGCTGCTCCGCCGGCCTCACTGCGGTCTTCCACGTCCTCCCGAAAAAGTGCCGGTAGGTGACATCAAAGAGAGACATGCGCAGATGGCAGCCCACCTCCGAAAGCACCTCCAGCCTGCCCTAGGAGACAGAGGGTACCGGTTCTGAAGGCTGCTCGACATCGGGAGCCATCCCCTGTGCCGACCGACCAGCCTGGGAGACCTGGCCCACACTTAGCATCCATCTTTAGGTGTCAAGATCCCTTGGGGGAACTGCCTCTCTCCCACGGCCACTGGTCTTGGTAGGCTTATGCATCAGAGTGCTTGGCCCTCTCTGGGCCAATCAGAGCAGTGAAGTCCCAAGGCACAAACATGAGCATAAGACTGCCCCTCCTGGGGCCAGCTAATTCCTAGACAGACAAAATGACCTGCCTCCCAGAACATCTATGATATGCAAACCAACCAATCCAGAGTCCAGACTCCCACCTGCCCCTCTATCTGGCTCTCTCAGAGGCCACCAAGATTATTTACACCGGCCAATCCTAAACCTGGTCAGCCTGCCTTACATGTTCCTTCCCACGAAAACCACAGTGACAGCTCTTGGCCATGGTCTCCCATGTTCCACCTCCCAAGAAACCCCGGTGCCACCCCACGGGGCCCTGTGTGGCCTGGCATACCCCCACCTCTTGGGCCCGGTAACAAACTGTCTTCTCCATGTTGCCCTCGCCGGCCCTAAATACAAACAAAATCCCATACCCGCCTGTGTAACTGCAGCAACTCTGAGGGGAAGAGGAAGGGGCCCATGTGCCACGTAACTCAGCAGGGGCCTCTCACAAGTCCCCAGCTTGGGCACTTCACACAGCTCACACTGTTCTGTCCGTTACACCCCCTCCAGCTAGCCCACGGAGGTGGCGGGGTGGTGCGGCTGATGGGCTGGGTGTGGGAAGTGAGGGACCAAAGCAGGACGGATGGGGTGGCCGGCCACTTCGGGGTGCCCAGGCCTTGCCCTGTGCTGGGAGTCCCACTTCCCTAGTGAAGGATGATGGCATGTTTTCTGTCCGGGGCTGCTGGGAGCGAGGTGGTGTCGGGTATGGAGGCAGGGAAGACAGCCGACGGGTCTGGAGGCCTCCAAACCCAGTTTCAATCACAGTTATGGGAGTCCCTTGACTCACGGGGCCTTGCACACGGGCTGCCTCTCCACCCACACCCCTCCAGTCTGCCTCTTCTCAGGAACCTCCCCCACCTGTGGCTCACTCCCCTGCCTTCCCTGACCATGCCCGTCCTCTGACCCTACTTTCTATTTCCCCAGCGTTCATCCAGTTCCCTGCCAGCCCCAGACGAGTGTGAGCTCTGGGAGGACAAGAGCCCAGAATATTCTCTTCCCTGCTCCATCCTTAGGGCCTGGAGCTAGACTTCACCCATGGAGGTACTCGGGGCACTCACCCCCCGGGGGCCTGGTCCTAGGCCTCCCCTTGCGGCTGGTCCTGCCCAGGGTGCCTCCATCAGCCTCTTTATCCTCCTCCTCATCCCTATTCCTCCTCCCCACTCCTCGTCCTGTCCCTGCTTCCCACTATGCTCTCAGAGAGGTAAGCACCAGCCAGGACCTGCTAAGTCCCAAACCTTTCTTACTGACCTAGACTTCTTCCCAGAGGGCCAGACCCTAACCACTCCTCCACCTTGATGCTACTTTGTACCCATTTCTATTCAGGTAAGTTTCTAAATGGTCTCTGCCGCTGCGTGAAGACAGAATATGGGACAGTCATCCGTGCCCCCCACACAGCTCCAACCATACAATGGTGCCCAGGAAACATCAAACTGAATTGGAATAGCCGTCTCAAAGCAAAGAAGTGTAATCAATGTTCATGGTAAAAATTAAACTCGATGAAATAGGTAAATGGGATGGCCAAAAAGATATACAAAAACTATTAAGAAAGTGTCCTGCGTTCAAATCATGTAATATTTTTAGCCAATTCCTTTCACAGGGAAGCTTGCAATCATCTAAAGCTGTCAAGTCTCAAAATAACTAACATCATACAAACTTTCTAAGACTACACTTTTTCACATTTCCTACTTGGTCTTTTTTTTTTCTTCCTACTTGGTCTTCTTTTAAATGCTATCTATTCACTGATTCTTGTATGTACAGCTGACCCTTGAACACCACAGTTTGAACTGCAAAGGTCCACTTATATGTGGTTTAGTTTGGTTTTGACGAACACAGTACCAGACTGTAGATGTGTTTTCTCTTCCTCACGATTTTAATAGAACTTTCCTTCCTCTAGCTGACTCTATTTTAAGAACACAGTGCACGATACGTATAGCATACAAAATACGTGCAAATCAACTGTTTACATTCTCGAGAAGGCTTCTGGTCAACAGTAGGCTATTATTTGTTAAGTTTGGGGGAAGTCAAAAGTTACATGTGGATTTTTGACCGTGAGGGGGGTCAGTGCCACTAACCTCCACGTTGTTCAAGAGTCAGCTATAAAACCTATAAAAGTTTGGATTCCTGTGTTAAACCCCACCTGATCCTTTATGTCTATCACTAGATCTGATGTCCTAATATTTTAAGGATTTTTGTGTTAATATTCACAAGGGATGTCAGTATGTAATTTTCTTGTGATGTCCTTGCCTGATCTAGTTATCGGTTATGGCAGCCACCCCCCCCCCAAAAAAAAAAAACAGCTGGGGGCGCCTGGGTGGCTCAGTTGGTTAAGTGACTGCCTTCGGCTCAGGTCATGGTCCCAGGGTCCTGGGATCGAGTCCCACATCGGGCTCCCTGCTCAGCGGGAAGCCTGCTTCTCCCTCTCCCACTCCCCCTGCTTGTGTTCCTGCTCTCGCTGTCTCTGTCTCTGTCAAATAAATAAATTAAAAAAAAAAAAACAGCTGGGAAGCATTCTCTCCTCCTCTGTTTTCTAAAAGAGTTTATCTAAAATTCATATTATTTCTTCCTTTGATACTTTATAAAACCCAACAATGAAGTCACCTAACTCTGGAGTTTCTTTGTAGGAAGCTGTTAAATTATGAGTTCCATTTCTTTAATGAACACAGGACTTTTTCTATTTTCCATTTCTATTAGTGTCACTTTGGGTAAGTTGTGCTTTTCAAGAAATTTGTCCATTTCAACTAAGTTATCAAATTTGTTGGCACACAAGTTATTCATGATATCCCTCAACTATCTTCTTAACACCTGTAGGATATATAGTAATGCTCCTTCTTTTCTTCCTAATATCGGCAATTGGTGTTTTCTCACTCTTTTCACATGATCATTCTTGTAGGAGTTTATCAATCTTATTAATCTTTTCAAAGAACCAAATTCTAGCTTTGCTGATCTTCTCTATTATTTGCCCCTTCTTAACTGATTTCTGCTAAATGAGCAGAAATCTACCATTTCCTTCTTCTATTCTCTTTGGGTTTAACTTGTTCTTCTCATGTAGATTCTTACAGAGGACACAGAGGTCATTGATTTTATACCTTTCTTCTCCTCTTGCTGTAAGTTTTGCTCTAAGGACTAAATTACTGGCATCCCGTAAATTTTGTATGTTCTTCCATTACTCGGTTCAAATTATTTTCTAATTTCTCTTTGAATTGTTCTTTGGCCCATGGGTTAGTTGGTAGTGTGTTAATTTCCTGCTATTTGAGGATTTTCTAGGTATCTTCTTGTTGATTTCTAATTTAACACCATACGAGTCAATGAACATATATATATATATACTCTTTATAAATCTCAATCCTTTTAAATCCATTGAGACTTATTTTCATGGCCCAGCATACAGTCTGTCTTTGTGAATGTTCCACATGCACTTGAGAAGAACTTGTATTCTATTTGTTGGTTATAGTGTTTTAGAGATGACAATCAGGTCAAGGTGGTGGGATGGTGTTTAGATCTTCCAAATCCTTATGGGTTTTTTGGTTTATGTGTTCTATCAATCATTGAGAGAGGAGGGTTAAGAGTCTCCAATGTGATGGTGAATGTGAACGGAGCTCCCTTTAGTTCTACACAATTTTGCCTCAAGTGTTTGGAAGCTGTTACTGGGTACTGTGCACGGAAGAGCGATCACAGCTGGCCCAACTGTTATGCTTTGAAAGGCCAGTATACGAGGCTGGCCCTTGACTGGAGGCTGGGCTTAGCTTTCAGGAGGGTTCCCGTCACCCTACTGACTGGCACCCTGTGCCTAAACTATACAAACTGGTTTATGCCGAACACCTGCTTTCTTGCTGGGAGTATGGAGCGTGGGAACATGCTAGGCAGAGGATAGCCACCTGCCCAGTCCTCAAAACCACATGGCCACTGGGTGTCTAACAAGCTTCCTTGGCTGGGAACATTTCACACGTATCGCCACGACTCGTTGCTGGGGGAACTGAATGTGTCCTGTGGGCTCTAATAGCAGAGGACCCCTGAAGCATGTGCCTATTCCCCCCACACTTTCCCCCCATATGCCTTTCCCACAGCTGATCTCACTCTGTGTCCTTTCACTGTAGTAAATCTTTCCTGTGAGACTGATTATATGCTGAGTCATGTGAGTCTCCCCAGTGAATCACTGAACCTGGGGGTGGTCTTGCAGACCTCAACAGAGGTACATGCACATTTAGGACTGGCCTATCTTCTGGATTCCCATCATCATTACAAAACGCCCCTTTATCTCTAGTAATACTCCTCACCGTGAAATCGACTGACATCAGCACAACACAGCGGATTATCACTGGGTTTACAGGGCCTATCTTTTCTCCATCCTCTTACTTTCATACTACAGTTCATGTCTTTCTGTCTAAAGTGGGTTTTATAAACAGCCTCTAACTGGGTCTAACACATAACTCCAAGTCAGGGAATTCCACTTGTAGGAGTTATTCTACAGACATACGTGTACATATGTGTAAATGAAGTGAATTGCCGTAGCTGTGTCTGTAATAGCAAGTGACTGGAAAAAAATCTGTGTTCATCAACCAGGGTCTGATAAATAAATGCAGGTTCATCCAAACAGAGAAATACTATGTTGTCTTGAGAGAATGAAATTCTTCACGTAATGACATGAACAATCTATAAGACATACTGCTATGAATGTTTTTTTTTTAAGCAAAATAATACAGGTATATTCATCTGCTGTATTTGCTTAGAGTTTCTGGAAAGTTATACAAAACAACAGGTCACATTGGCTGTGTCTAGCGTGGGACGCTGGTGCCTTAGGGACTCCGTGGAATGATACACTTTCCTCACGTACCCTAGTGAATTTTGAACAATGATAATTACCTTTTCAAAAACAAATAAATACATGGGCGCCTGGGTGGCTCAGTTGGTTAAGCGGCTGCCTTCGGCTCAGGTCATGATCCTGGAGTCCTAAGATGGAGTCCCGCATCGGACTCCCCGCTCGGCGGGGAGTCTGCTTCTCCCTCTGACCCTCCCCCCTCTCATGCTCTCTCTGTCTCATTCTTTCTCTCTCAAATAAATAAATAAAATCTTAAAAAAAAAAAAACAAATAAATACAAATAAACAAATGAAATAAAATGGAACAATAAATAAAATTTCCTTCCTAAAATTCCTAGGAGAGACGACGGTGCTGTCCGCTAAGCTGTGAGCTCCTATAAGGTGGAGGCTGCCATCGTTGTCTGCCCGGGCTGGAGCCCAGTGGCCGCCTAGAGCAGTGCACCCCGTGCCCCTTCTCCCAGACTGTCCCCTCTTCTGTGAGACGCAGTCACGAGGCCCCCCGCTTCCAAGGGCTGCTGCGAGGAGGCAGCAGACTGAATGGGAAAGTGTTGGGCAGTAAGAGCTGGAAGACCGGCAGCCACCACGGGGCTAACAGCGCCAGCGCACGGCAGGCACTGAAGCAGAGGGCTTGGAAGTGAACGCTGTAGGGTATGAGTGGCTTCCCAGAAGTGAGCTCTTACAGCTCCAGTACCCCAACAACTGTGAACACACAGAGAACCGCGCTACCATCTGCAGAGGACATAGCCTTGCCAAGCCAAACCCTACAAAAAGTCACATGTTCCCAATGGCAGGTCTGGATCCTTCTCATGCATCCCCCTGGGTCTCACTAGAACCATCCGATTACGTGGGTGCTCGGTGGGCAGCGCAGAAGCACCAGCTTCTCCAGCAGTTTCCCTGCCCCTGAAGGACACAGACGGGTGCAGAGCCACAGAGCAAGGGCCTGAGTGTGCAGAAGGCTGTGGTACATCCAGGCACATGGCTTCTGCCACGATACCCAGAGCTCTGCCCCTGCACTTCTAACCGCCAGGCTGCAAGCAGGCTGTCTTGGGTCGTGCACGGGCCCACCTCCTGCAAACAACCTGGCTCAGAAATAACACAAGAAATCAGATTACCTGGGTTTTAAAATGGCTCTATTGTGGTCAGAAAGAAACCTTTACCCAGTGTCAGAAGTGCTGACCGAGTCGCTGAATCGTGTATTCTCTTTGCTGATGAGCCACTTTGCCTCCAAACACTGCCAAGGCCCAAGGTAATGGGCACAGTGGTAAGACTTAAATAAATAAGTGAAAATCAATATCCCCTCAGCTGAGAGCAGTAGCAACATGCATAGGACAATAAATGGCAAATTTCCTTACCTGCTTAATGAGTGGCCCATCGAGACACTTCAGGACACACTGAAACGCTGTCGATTCCTTCGAAGGCTGGCGTGCTCTCTGTGGGTGGGGAGGGACCAGCACGTTCTGGTCCAAAATCCTGAGCCAGTCATTCATTCTGCCAGTCTGAGGGTCACCTGGGCCTCTAGGATTACCTGTACAATTTGTGTTCGAATAAATAAAGGAGTTGTAAGGGCCATTGTGCTCAGAGGGATTCTGAAAGTTTCCTGCCTCCCCTTGCATCCCAGAGGAACCACCATCCCCAAAAACCACACTTCGCAATTCCTCCCTCCAAACCCCAGTGCAACAGACTGGTACCTGAGCCGCCTTCTCCTGGCAAACATGCCCCGCTTGCTCCAGATCCCCTCTCTGTCCCTGCTCTCAGGAGCCAACAACAGCACGACTGTGCTGGCCTCCATAACTGGCACAGAGACACGCACATGCAAGGCTGCTTTGTACAGCTGTGCAGGCTGAGCACCACACAACAGTGCCAGGCCTTGGGGACTAAGGCTATCTTAGAAGGGACTAGGAAGCATGACCCAATCAGAACCAAGGAGATACACATCTCACAGCTTCTGCTGGCTCTGCTGAGAGAAGGAAATACTCTTTTCTGCAGCCCTTGGAGCAGAAAGGTCATCAGTATGAAGTTGTCAGGAGCCACCGTGGGAGCAGCTTCCTTGAGACACACAGGAAAAGCAAGCAGAGCAAAAGCAAAAGCAAGGGCCAGTGGGTCTCGGTGTCACGGTGAGAGCCCTGGCTCAAGGAAACCCTAAAGCCACCCAGGACGGTTCAGCTACATGGACAGTCTCTTGTTGCCAAAGCCGGTCTGGGATAGATTTTGAGTGTTATGGCTTCTGGGTGACCTGGCTCACTAAGGATGTGATCCGCCTTCTAGCCAGACAGAGATCTGAACCTTCTCTATTCTCTAGCCGCTTTTCAGCTGACACAGAATCTTAAGCTCTTGGCTTTGGTAAGAGGCTGAATTCTGTACACTAAAATGACACGCAAGATAGGGCAGTGGATTTCATCTCCCAAGACGGTGGTTCTTTAAATGGGGTCCCTAGACCCCAGAGTTCCCTGGGGTGGTCAAGGGCTCCACAAGGTCAAAGCTAGTTCCATAACAGTCAGATGCCGTTTGCCTTCTTCACTGTGTGGACATTTGCGCTGGTAAAGCAAAGGCAAGTGTGGGCACAGCGGCCTCCCTGAGCCCCAAGGCAGGCGCACCAAACCCTCGGGCCGCGGTGCGTTCTTCACTCATAGCAAAAGGCAGGGCAGCTTCACTTAGGAATGTCCTCTGTGACACTGTGAAAACTAAGAATTTTATTACATCCTGACCCTTGAGTACAGACACTTTTAACACTCTGTGATGAGAAGGGAAATACACAGCACGGACCCACTGCTCCTGTCGTCCGGCAATACCATCTTCACTAAAAGAGCCACTGAGAGAGGGACCGTGCTTATTCAAACTCGGGCACTTTGCAGCCTCCCAAATGTGAACTAAACGAGTCTGTCACTTCAAGGAAAACTGGTAATAAGAGTTGGGCTTGCAGGCAAAAATTAGAATTGGGAGAATCTGTATCTTCCACTGTGAATCTGACAGCTTCCTCCTTAAAGACGGTCCTGACGAGATGGATGGGGACGGCGACAGAAGTCATCTTTTGAAATTGTAGGATTAAATGTGCACTATTTGGAAGATCAGCATACCTTAGAAGCAGTATTTTCCAGGTGAGCAGTGCATCACAATATAAAACTCTGCGTGAGTGAAAGATCCATCCCAAATGCAGGACCGACCGAAGGACTTTAATGTACTAGAGCGTGCAAAGTTCACAGGCAGGGTGCCCAACTCCACATTGCACAAACCTTTAGGAAACCACCATTGTGGAGTTGGGGTGAAGTACCAGAGGAGAACATCCACAATTACCTAGGACACTCCTCCCTTCTCTGGGTGAGGCCAAGTTTCTTTCAAATACTTCAACTAAAACAACTTTCTCAACAGGCTAGAAACAGAAGCCTAGGGGGGCCTGGGTAGCTCAGTCGGTTAAGCCTTCGACTCTTGGTTTTGGCTCAGGTCATGATCTTAGGGTCATGGAATAGAGCCCCAAGTCAGGCTCCACACTCAGTGGGTAGTCTGCTTGAGGTTCTCTCTCTCTCTCCCTCTCTGCCCCTCCCCCCATGCTAGCGATCTCTCTAAATAAATAAATCATAAAAAAAAACCAGAAACCTATATGATACCCAGCTGTCTACTATGCCAGACGCTACAAAAACTTACAAAAATGCAAAACCACCCCTCTTCCTGGTAATTTTTTGTTCTAGAAAACAACTGGTTTTCATAAAAAAATACATTTTATGCTAACATGTAACAGGTCTATTGTTATCTCTACATAAGCAATAACGTTAACATTTCTCAGATTTCATTTCCAATAAACACTAGTAGATATAATCAAACAAAAAGTCTTTGGAGTCCTCAACAATTTTTTAAAGTGTAAGGGGGGGCGCCTGGGTGGCTCAGTTGGTTAAGCGACTGCCTTCGGCTCAGGTCATGATCCTGGAGTCCTGGGATCGAGTCCTGCATCGGACTCCCTGCTCGGCGGGGAGTCTGCTTCTCCCTCTGATCCTCCCCCTCTCATGCTCTCTGTCTCCCATTCTCTCTCTCAGATAAAAAAAAAAAAAAATCTCTAAAAAAATTAAAATTAAAATTAAAAAAAAAAAAGTGTAAAGGGGTACGAGGCCACAAAGTCTGAGAAAGCCTATTCTACCAGGACCCAAAAGATGAGGGCTTTGTGTAGCCAGGCCACCCTCCACCCTTGCAGGCGTGTGGGGAATGGAGGGAGCCTCTAGAGCGTGGGCATGATTGGCCTGGAAAGCTCCCCCACACCCAGCAGGCCTAGGCACAAAGCCCTGCCCCCACTGGAGTGCCCCCCACCCCACAGCCCCTGCAGGCAGGCCTTCGCTGCAGCATCCAGATCTGGACTGTCCCCACATGAGCACTGAGGCACACACGCGTTGCGTTTTTTGTTCTGAGTCACTTTTCTCTGCGCAATATCCCTTGTTTTAAGCAATGACACCCCACAATCCCACGTGCTGCCCACAATTTAGGGCCGGGCACTTTAGTGATGGGCTCAAAGACGAACATGTGACCCACACTGTACCAATCATCTTCCCCAGGACTCCAGCCACAGTTCCTCCTGGAGAGGCCGTCTCTGCTCAGAGGGCAGCTGCTGCGCAGGCCAGCCTGAAGCCCCATGGGCTACCCTGCCACTCCAGGGAGAGCCTGAGGTCAAAGCCAGCGCCAGGGAGACTGGTGGAGATTGGTGGGGAGTCCTGCCACCAGAACCCAGACCTCTAGGTGGAGACAGCCTGATGGAAGGCAGCCCCTACTCCCACTGGAATGGAGTTGCAGGAGCCAAGAAAAGCCCTTGGAGGCTTTCCATGGTGGCTAAATAATGGCCCCCAAATGTCTCTGTCCTAATCCCCAGAACCTGTGAATGTGTGACCTCACATAGCAAAGGGACTCTGGGAGCATGATTAAGTGAAGGTGGGGGAAAGTACCCTGAATTACATAGATGGGCCTGAGGCAGTCACAAGGGTCCTTAGAAGAGGGAGGCAGGAAGGTCAGAGAAAAGGTCAGGTGACCACAAAGCAGACAGAGAAGTGAAGGAGGGAGGGGCCACAAGCCAAGGACCAGCTAGAAAAGGCAAGGAAACAGATTCTCCCCTGGAGCCTCCAGGAGGAATACACCCTCCCACACCTTGACTTTAGCCCAGTGATACTGATTTTGGACTTCCGACCTCCAGAACTGAAAGAGGATAAATCTGTGTTGTCTTGAGCCACCCAGGCTGTGGTATTGTTACAAAAGCCATAGGACACTCACACAGCTGTCTACCACTTGTAAGCAGCAGAGGCCTGATAGCCAGCAGGAGGGCCGCCTGCCCAGCAGAGCATCTTGGAGGCTCGGGGGGGGCCAGCTGCTGGGCCCACCTGGCCCCTGAGCTTCCCGTGGTCACAGCACTTGCCACCTGCCCTGTACGGACCTGCCCACTGGCCAACCACTTGCATAAGGGGATCTATGTTCCTGTGTCCTTGGTACTGTCTCACCATCAGAACTCAATAAATTTTCATAAAATCAAATTGAAGGTTCAATAAAGTTGACTCCCAAGCATTTTTTAAGAGAAATGTTGTTTTCCTGTTGACCTTCATTACAAAATGGGGACATTATTTCATACAAAGTGAGGCCATTAAGGACTGAAACTTCCTGGGGCACCTGGGTGGCTCAGTCAGTTAAGCATCTGCCTTCCACTCAGGTCACGATCTCCAGGTCCTGGAGAGGAGGACACTCCACACTCAGTGGGTAGTCTGCTTGAGGTTCTCTCTCTCTCTCCCTCTCTGCCCCTCCCCCCGTGCTAGCGATCTCTCTAAATAAATAAATAAGAGAAGAGAGCTTCTCCCTCTCCCTCTGCTGCTCCCCCTGCTTGTGCTCTCTCGCTCACACACTCTCTCAAATAAATAAAATCTTTAAAAAAAAAAAAAAAAAAAGGACTGAAACTTCCCGTGTAGGAAGTCCTTTGTGCCTCAGGAGCACGGGGGCAGTGTCACCCTTGGAAGGGGCCCCTGCATGCTGCCCGCAGTGTTTTCCCAGCGCGAGGACGGCACTTTCTTTGCAGGCTTTGCTCACTTGCCCCAGATTCCTGACCCAGCACCTCCTTCCCTCCCCCTGGCTACCACACTTGGCCGGCAGATGCCAAAGAACACTTCCGTTCTAGTCCATCGGGCAGAGGAAACACATGCATGGGACTGCCCCAGTCTGTACCAGCAGGAGGCACTGGGAGGAAAGGCATCCCTTCTGAAAAGGACAGCCACCCAACCGAGAAACAGTGAGCCGGGCACACAGAGGCAGGCAGCAACAATCTGAGTGGGCGATGGAGGGAGAGGGCACCTGAGACACAGGCTCTTGGGGGTTCCCACAGATGGGCACAGAGCTCTGCCCTTCCCTTCCCTTCCTCCCAACCCCCACCTGACTGCCACCCGACCCTCCTTCCTCTCTACAGCCACTCTGCCCCCACTCTGCCCTAGCTACAATTCCTCCCGGACACCATGCCCTCTCGGTTCCCCTCAGCACACACACGACCCCCCCCCCCCCGGAAAATTCCCACTCATCCTCTAGGAGTCAGATCAAATGCCCCTTCCTCAGGGTGGGCACTCCCAACCCCCACCGGTTGCTCCCCCACAAGGGATCCTGTCACAGAAAGTCACCATGCTTCCTCAGTCTCCATGTTTCTCTTGTCCTGCAAGACTGAGCTCAGTGAGGTCAGGGCTGGGTCCTCAGCGAAAATCTTTTTAACGATTAAGTAAATAATTAAATTACACTGTGGAGAACTTAAGAATGCTATGGAGGGAAGACAGGACCTTTGGGGCTAGATGAACAATAAAGAGAAAACAGGGAGGGCTCCATGCTTTGAGCCCACAAAAAGGGCTCTCCAGGGGAGAAACAACACAAGGAAATGCACCAGGTTTCACCGAGTGCCTACTGTGAGCCGGGCAGTCACAGACCTTTTCATGTGTATTATTCCAACAACTGTGTAGGTAAGTATCACAGATAAGGACAGTGAGACTCGGGTTAAACGGCCAGGCCAAAGTCACACAGCTGGTCACGACCGGCCCCAAAGCCGTTACAATCAAAGCCAGGAGAGGCCCCGGAGCCTATGGTAAGACACAGGCTGAGGAGCCCCGGCTAACCTCCGCTGCCCTCAGACTTCAGGGGAGTCTCTTGCCCTCCCTGCATCTGTGTCTCATCTACAGGATGAGGGGACTATGAAGTCTCCCAGAGGGCTCTGCTCTGCACACCTCCTGTGTTCCAGTGCACACAATGATGGAGATTGCCAAATACCAGGTCTTTCCAGTGGGGGAAAGACAAGAGAGCGAGTGTGAGCAGCACATAGGAGACAAGCCGAATTCAGTCTCCTTGGGCCCGGGGGGCAGAGAACAGGGAACTCCAGCACGGAAGAGGTAAGCCAGGATGAAATCTCGCCAACGGTGGTTCCCTAGAGAAAGAGGGGGGCAGGAGCCGAGAAGCTGTGCAAGCAGGGGGAGGCTTCCTTCCAAGCAGTGAACAAGATCTGGGAAAGGCTTTGGGAAGCTTTTTTGGGAGTAAGTGGAGATCTAATCAAGCGCTGCCTAGAATTCCCTCACTCAAGCAGTCCTCTTTGCATACGTACCAGGTGCCAGGTACTGGAGAAACCGTCCTGAATATAGCAGACAAGCTCCCTGCCCTCATGGAATGTATCTGGTGTGAGGCAGAAAGACAGGATGTAAGTTAGCACACAAGGAAGCCATGGTGTGATCTATGAAAAAGACAGAAAGGTGTGGAGCGTGCAGTGAGCTGGGACGGAGACTGGGTTGGAAGCGGAGACCGCTAGGCACGATCAGAGGACATAGCAACACTTAAGACAGGAGCGCGTCTGAGAACGCAGCAGTCTTGTACGGAGACGGGCCCTGGAGACGCGCACAGGTGGGGCCTCTGAGTCGGAATGAACGCTTAGGAGAGCAAGCATCCAAGCTGCGGGAAGGGCCCAGGTGGCCAGCTCTAAGCCCGTCAGGAAGCCAGCGAGACGGACAGCGGGGGGAAGGCGGGAGTGGATCCAGGGGCGGTCAGAGGCCGGCAGGACCGGCAGGGCGTACAGAGCCTCCTGCAAGAGCCAGAGTCTCGCAGTCTTCGCTGGGCGGCGGCTCTGGGAAGCGCCAGCAGGAAACAGGCACCGGCCGGAGATGAGGACGCAGCCGGGGCACAGGCCCCCACCCTGCAGGGGTCCCCCACTGGCGTCTGGCCCAGGAAAGGCTGCGGGACGCCGAGTGCGGAGGGCCAATGTCAGGGTCTCAGCAAAGCCCAGGCCGTCCGCACCGCGCTCTTCTGAAGCCGAGCGGCAGCAGAGGGGCGCGGGGTCAAGGGCAGAAGGCGCACGCTGAGCCCCAAGGACCCCCGACGCCCACGGGAACCCCGGGCCGCACCGAGTGTCAAGACCGGGGCGGGATGCGAATGACGCGGGCACCGGGTCCCCGCGGAGAGCCGCACGGAGCACCCCCACCCCGGGCCCGGGGAGCCCCGGCCGCCTCGGCCGCCCCGAGCTCCAGGCCGCGTCCAACCTCCCCCGCGGCGCCAGCCGGCATGGTTCCGCCCGCCGCGGGCAGCGTTACCTAGGAGACGGGCCCGCCGCGGCCGCGCTCCGGCCGCCGAGGCTCACGCTGTCGAGGACGCGCCCCCACGACGGACCCAGAGCCCCGCCGGCCTCCCGGTACCCGCCGGAGCCCCAGGCCTAGCGGGCTGAGGACGGGCCGAGGGTCGCCGCGTCCACCGCCACAGCGGGAGGAGCCTCGGCGGTCGGCGCGCCGCGCGTCCGGGCCGGGAACCCGCCCCGCGTCGGCGTCGTTGGCAGGGCCTCGGGACCAATCGGAGCCCAAGCCCCGAGGCTCCGCTCCGGGAGCGCCGGCCAATCGGCGCGGCGGCGGGCCCGTCCTGATTTGCATGGCCGGCGACCCCTCAGCCAATTGGAATATGACTGGCGTGAAGGACAACCAATGAGAAGCTAGTAGAGGCGTGGCCCCGGGCGTCCCACGAGGTGAAGATGCTGCAGGCGGAACCTGGCCGAGCGAGCGGGATTCGGGGGCGCTAAAGTCGCCGGGGCAGGGCGGGAAGGAAGATCCGGAGCGGGGCGCAGGATTCGGAGCTGGAGCCCCCCAGGTAAGTGCTGGGGGACCCCGGCGGGCCGCGCTGTCCACCGCCGTGCGCCGAGAGAGCGGCGGCGGGCACCCGCGAGGCCCGCGCTGATTCTCCATCTCCTCTTCCACCGCGCGTCCCCGCGCCCGCCTCCGTCCTCACCTCCTCTCCAGCCGGTTCACCTCTTTCTCCATCATCTCCCTTGCCCCATCCCGCCCGACCCCTGCCCCAAACTTCATCCCTCCCCTCGTCCCGGTGCTTTCATCCCCATCTCTGCCACCTCCCCTTCCCGCAGCCTCGCCTCCGCCTGCCCCCATCCCCCCTTCCCATCCCCTCTCCCGGCCTCTGCGCAGCCCCATCCGAGCGCGCCTGGTCACGGACCTCCCCATCTCGCCTCCTTGTTGCTCCCAAAGGCTCATCCTGCCTCTCGCTCCTGATCCCTGTCCCCATCCTCCCATCCATTCTGTTCCCAGCCCCTGTCTCCTCCTCTGGACGCTCTCCCTCCACCTTGCAGATCCCCAGGACCTTGGCACTCCCTTCCTGCACCAGTTCCTCTGGCTACCTACACAGCCAACCCCACCCAGCCCCCGTCCCTGTGCCCCTTCCCCGTTTTCAGCTTCTCTTCTCTCCCTACCTCCCTACCTGCTGCTGCTCCTACAGGACGCAGGGACCCAGCAGCTGCGGCGGCAGCAGCCCATGTACCTGCCCACCTTGCCACCCTCCCACCCAGGCGCACCCTGGCTCCGCTCCTCCTGCCCTTTGTCCTGGGGGATCCTGGAGGGGACTGCGTTTTGCCTAGAGCATCCTGGGGAGCTCCAGGTGGGAAGCCCCTTAGCACCCTTTCCTGCCTTCCTTCCTGGCCACCATCACCCTCCCCACCCCACCCCCACTTTCCTGCTCAACCTCACTTTGTGATTCAGCATTTTTGGGGTTGGTAACTTTCTTTGCTTCCTGGCATGACAGGACTCGGCTGTGGGGCTGAAGGCTGGGGGTCTTGACCTGGCAGTTGGTTACCGTGGCCACCTTAGGAAACAGACCTGCGTTGCCTGGTAGAGAACAGGGATGGGGAGCAGGGGACCGGCCAGTGGGGGCTGTCTTCTCTCCCTTTCATTTGTCCTGTGTTGAACCGCATCCAAGGAGAGATGACATAAGTAATAGCTCTTGGGGAAATGGGGTATTAGCATTTATGGAAATTAATACATCCACACCCGAGGAGTAAGAACACCAAGTTCAGGCCACAGCTGTCCCACTGTCTGTTGTTTCAGGACTTCTTCTTTCTCTGCAACTTCTCCTCCCCCTCAAAAACGCCATCCCCCTTCCAGTGCCAAGAGCAAGCTCCCACTCTGCTAACACATTGCAGGGCTGGGGGACCTGCGTGTGGGGAGCCCCATCTGCCCTCCTGATTGTTGCTTGGAAAAGCATCCACCTGCAGAGCCAGGCTCCTGTGCGGTCCCTGGGCTCCTGCCTGTGTGCTCTCTCAGCAGGGGCCCAAAGGGCATTGGCTCCCCAGGTTACGTCCTTTAGAACACCCCAGGTCCATACCCAGCCTCAGTGGCACTGATGGTGTTTGGGCTACCATACGATCCTGCCTGGAAAGCATCCTGGGGGAGGCATCCCCTATAAAACCGGGTCCAGCTGCTTGTGTTTCTCTCTACCCTGCCAGTTGCCAGACACTGGGCCCTGCTCAGCACCCCTGAGACTGAGCCAGGCTGTGGGGGATGGGGGTCATGAAATATGTGAAACCCAGGTGTTGTGCTTACAACCCTCTTGGGTCTGGGTGTGGAGCCTGGATGGGAAGAAATGGGCCCCAAAGCAATTGCACACCGCAAGTGTGGAAAGACGGGACACCACTTCTTGCCTTGTAAAGGTCAGGGCCAGCCGTGGGCACTGGGGGTCTGAGGGGCAAGCGAGCTCCGTGGATGGGACAGCTTGAGAGGCCTCACCCCGTGGGGCTGGCTTTCTTTCTTTCCTTTACTTTTTCAATGATCTTCTAAACCTCAAATGATTCAGGAGGAAGTGAGTGGCACAGTTTTGATTTGGCAGTTTCCGGTAGGGGTTCAGAGGGAGGGGGCCTCCTCCAGACTTTCCTGTTTTTTGGTACTGGGCCCACGGCAACTGGACAGCACAGCGTGTGGCAAAGGAAGGCCTCCTCGTTACTAGAACCTGTGTAACGTGCTTCGTTTCCGGGGACTCTGGCTGAAAGCAGCATGTGTTTAGTCCTTGATAAAAGTCTCAGTGACCTTCATGTCAGCAAAGGTCCCAGAGCAAGAGTGGTTTCCTGGAGTCCCTGGATAACAGGGCAGGGCAGTGGCAGCTGCAGGCAGCATTTGGGGAAGACCATCTCTGATGGTAGCTAGGGCCAGAGACACGGTGCCTCCCGCCATCCCCTCTCCCAGCAGCCAGGGGGTCTCCTGTCATAGAGGCAAAAGGTCTTGGGCATCTTCCCCCCACAAAGGAGTCCACGGAAGCCCAGAGGCAAAGACTTCTCCAAGGTCACTCAGGGGCAGGGGCGGATCCCAGATAGACTCTTCGCATCCCACTAAAGGAAGTGCAGGTCACTTCTTTGACTCTCTCCATTGGAGGATGCCAGCACCCTATGGATGTGCCCAACCATCGGGCTGGGCTGCCCTTTAGGGTGGCCCCTCTGGAGACGTTGCTGACATGCATAGAGGAAACCAGTGCCCTGGGGTGTATCTGAGTCACTGGGGAGCTGTTGGGAGTGGAGGATATCATCAAGCGCAGAGAATTCTAGTGATACCATTCTGCCCAGCCTGGCAGGTCCCCAGAGCAAGGGTGCCATGCTTCCAGAGATGTCATCAAAGAGATGGCAGGGAGCCAAGACACTGGGCAAGATGAAAGGGGAGAAGAGACTCAGGCCATGCTGGGCCTGCACTTTAAACCTTGCTCCACGATGGGTCCTTGTAAATAACCCTGCAAGGTGGGCTGGGTAGCCTGGATGGGGAAACTGAGGCACAGAGTGGTGGAGAAAATGATCCAGCCTCCCTAGCTCCTATGGACACCTTGATTCTGTTCTTACTGTGCCAGGACTCTGAGACAGGTACCACCTCCCTGTCCCACCAAGCTCCAGAAATACCAGAAATCCCCCCCACACACTCACAGTTGGGTCTCAGATGCACAGGAGGGTCAGGGTTCAATCCCAGCTCCCAAGGGACATGGAAATCCACCTTTTTCATGAAGGGAAGTCCGACACGCTCAGTTCTCTGCTCGCTCTGTGCCCTCCCTTTCTTGGGGGCCACTCTGTGAGGAGACGTGGTCCTTGGCAGCACTTTCTTGGCTCAGCCACTTCAGGGGAAGAAAAGAGAACAGGGCCTCCCCAAGAGAGAGCAGGGTGACCCACCTGGTCATGCTGTCAGCTATGGGGGTAGCTCGAGGCTTTCCATTCAGCCTGCCCTTAGCGGGTAGCAGAGCCTCCCTGCCGGGTGGGTGTGAGCTCCTGCTGTGACCTCTTACTCTTTGCTGCTTCCTGTGGGGCTCAGCTGAGGGCTGGCCTTTCTGTCCCTGTACACCCCGGAGGAGCTCTGGGCCCAGCGCCCCCAGCCTGAGGGTGCCCCATGGCCACACACCCGGCTTTCTAACTCATAGCCCTGCAGGACGGGGTCTCAGGAGTCTTTCCGTGCTCTGCCAGATGGCCACATACTTAACCCTGGAGACCTCAGGCGTGTGTGTGGGCTTGAGTGTGTCCCTCATAGCCGAGCCGAGCCCCGCAACACTGGCCTGCATCCCTGGCACCTGCCTTCCTTGACCTTCCTCCTTGCAGGTAGCCCACCACTTCTCTCTCACTCCAGCACAGGCATCTACAGTCTTGACTCTCGATGCCATGCGGGGTACAGATAAAATAGGATTAGGGCAAGGGAAGAAGCAGAGAAGGGGACAGTCTCCTTCAGCTTCACACCCATGCTGCAGACTCAAGGCATCTCCCCCATGGACATCTTGGGCCCTGGCTGCTGGGCCTCAGTTAGGTCTGTCGTGCAATCCGAGGCTGAAAGCCAGGCACGCCTTTTTTCTCAGATCCCTGCCCTGAGTTCGGGACAAACCAGCGGACTGGTCATCACTGGGCCAGTTTCCGCAGTAAATGAGCAGCTCCTCATGTCCCCTCAACACCAGGTCTTGTCCACGGGGCCCTGTGTCACCAGTCTGGCCCATGGACCCTGGTGGGGAGTTAGCTCTGTGTCTCCCTCAGTCTCTGGCTCTCACCTTCCCAGCCACCTGGCTTCATTCTTGTGCCTCCCTGTTTCTGGATTGGCAAAATGAGACTATGTGAGTCCAAGTATAGGGACAATCCCTGGCTCATCGGGGGTGCCCAATCGGTGTCGTCTACCCCCTCACCCGCCGCTTCCAGTCATGGACGGAGCCCGAAAGGTCACCCTACCTGGAACCCAGGTGGCTCCCCAGAAAGCTCGTGCAGTGATTCAGGTCCCCTTCTGAGGGACTTTGTGATCCCCCTCAGGACTCCTCAGAAGGGCTGCCTGTTCTTGGGGCACAGCCTGGGAGAGCCCAGCTGGCTGCTTTTGTGGAGGGTGGGGAGGGCGGTCCCGTGGCCCCTGGTCTGTAGAGAAGAGCTTCCCGGTGAATGGAGGGACACGCCTCGCCCTGTCCTCCCTCACCGCAGGCCTCCTGGCGGGCCAGACCGCTGCACACCTGCATGCGCATGCCGCAGCCCAC